TAATTTCAAATAATTTGGAGTTATTATTATCTTTCTTTAGTTTTAAGTCTTGGATTTGAACAGAGCTTAAAAGGTTCGGCAGTGGACAAGAGAAACAGGGATAAACTGGGCTCCTGTAAAGTGTATCTAACAGTGAATCAACTCTTTCAAAAGCATCCACAAGTGCAGGAATACTCTTTTTCCGAAAAAAGTAATAATTTTCATTATAGGTGATATATAACCATCTAACCGCAGCTAAGGTTTCACTGTCCTCTAAACTGGCAGCTTTCAATAATGATCTTCTGTGTTCTAAATCCATTTCACTTGCTTCCCCTAGAAGTATGTTAGTAGGTGTGGACTTCATATATCCCAGAGCTATTCTCAGTGCCTCAAATTGAATTTTGTTAAGTTGAGCAATAGACTTTCTTGAGCTACCACCCAAAAAAGAGGCTCCATAATCCAAATGGGGTCTAACATAAACTTTGTAAAAAGTTAGAAGGGTAGAGGGATGTGCCCCCCACCAGATTCTACTTATAAATCGCATCATATTCAACCCACCTGAAGCTTTCTGTATCATATTTCTAATTTGTGGCTCCCATGACAGTTTTGGATCAAAAATCACTCCTAGATATGTGATGGAATTTCTCCATACTATGGTTCGAGTGTTGAGGTGAAGTCTGGGGAGATAATTAACCTTGTAATTCTTTCTGGAAAAAATATAGCTGCAGATTTATTGGGGTTAATCTCAAGTCCTACATTCAAAGACCAAATATGTATATTTTGCAAAGTTCTATTCAAATTGTTCACTATTGTTTGGGCATCAGTCCCAGTACTCAGCAAGGCGGTATCGTCCGCAAACTGTAAAAGTCTTATGTTCTCAGGAATTGTTTCTTTAATTGAATTAATGTAAATATTAAATAGTAATGGAGAAAGAGGGGAACCTTGGGGAACTCCCTTGCTGGTGGTTCTGCCTGACACGAATGTATTAGTAGATGGATCTTTAACTTGTATCTTTCTGTTCGTGAGAAAATCATTAATGAGCAAAGTCAAATCTCTGGCGATTCCAATTTTGGCCAACACCGAGGTCAAGAAGTCAACATTTATATTATCGTAGGCACTGGATATGTCCAAAGTCACCATTGCTGCTAGTTGATTGCGAGCCAAACGGCAGAGGACCTCTGAGGAGATAACTGCAAGATTGTCGAAAGTTCCCTTACCCTTTCTGAAACCAGTTTGGCGAACGTCTATTAAACCTTGGTTCTCTACGAACCATTCCAGTCGGTTTCTGATCATAATTTCAAAAATTTTGCTTATGCAAGAAGCTAGGTTGATGGGCCTGTAGGACGATAACGCTGAGGGGTCTCTCCCCGGTTTAGGAATTGCGATCACCATTTGGGTTTTCCACGTCTCTGGAATGGTGGTTTCCCTCCGAAGTATTTTGTTGAAAAATTTGATAAGAAAGACTGCTCCTTCAACAGGGAGATGGCTGAGCACACTGAAAGGTACTTTATCCACACCGGGACTCTTGCTCTTCCGACCTTTAACAGCCGCGACAAATTCTGAGATATGGAAGTCTTCTGTATATTCTGATGAGAAGCGACGTTTGGGGATGTTACGCAACATAGAGGGAGGTTGCGTCAAAAGATCAAACATATCTTGTGGGATTGAGAAATTCAAGGGAAAATGATAATTTTGGTACCTGATACCTTTAGCAAACCTAATACTGCTCCAAACTTCTTTTGCACTAGTATTTGGAGATAGATTCTCACAAAAGTTGACAAAGCCTTCCTTTTTCTTCTTACGTAGCAGCTGTCTTGTTTGTGCCCGTGTTCTTAATGATTCCAGGAAGTTGGTCTCAGAGGGGTTGTTTTTATAATCTCTGAATGCTTGTCTTTTCCTTTTAACAGCGTTGGTGCACTCATTATCCCACCAAGGTAACCCGTAGTTTAATGAGTGTTTATGCATTGGAACAGATTCTGCAATAGATAGGAAAATTATATTCATAAAATCCTCATAATTTATAGGCGGTGAAGTTCTAAATTTCGTGGAGATTAAATCGGAAAATTTCTCCCAGTCTGCCTTGTTGAAATTATATTTGCTAGTGTAGTTTCTTGTCGAACCTGAGTTGCAACGGTTATTTCCGATGATACCACAAAATAGGAAAATGATCGCTATTCACTCTATCCTGGAGAACCCTGCAGTCAGTAAGTCCAGACAGTCTCTGGGAGCAAAAAGCTACATCTGGAGCGCTGTGTACGCCTGGGCGTGTGAGCCGAGTAGCTGATCCATCATTTAGTACCCACAAATCGTGATCCTTAATGAAATCATAAAGAATGTTCCCACTTCTAATTCCCCGTGAGTAACTGACCTGGGAACCCCATATTGGATTATGGGCATTAAAGTCTCCCATAAAGAGGACTGGTTTATTACGGGTTAGATCGAAAATTGAATCGAGGCTTGCCCTGACCAAACAAATATCTGGAGGGTTGTAAACGCAACAAATAAAAAAATCGACAAGCTCTGCAAGAATAACCTGACACCTTTCTGGTATATTAATTCTGCTTAAGTCGATGATATTATATTTTATTTTGTTTTTCAAGAAAATTGCTATACCATCTGTACCATTAGGTTTATCAGCTCTTACAGGAGAGAACCCTGATATTTTAAAGTTAGTGTTGGGTTTGAGCAAGGTTTCATTGAGCAATAAGATCTGTAGCTTAAAATCCCTTATAACTCTAATGATAGCATCTTTATTTTTTTCAGCCCCGCAAATGTTCCAATGAACGATATTCATTATAGCTCAACTATAAAATGCTTGTGACTAAAACTTAAACTTAGTTTTGTTAGGTAAAAACTACTGTTAGATTAAAACTAGTGATAAGATTACCTTTTCTTTTTCTAACCCCTGTAGGTCAACCGCTGCCATCGCAGCCGCCCCCCCCCTCCGTAGGTCAAATGAACCAAAATATTGTTTGATATTGTTGACACAATTTTCATCCATACCCTTTATTGACATAACGTCTTTTTTGAAAGCTTCAAACTTGTTACATACTTCTTCCCAGCCATATCCTACAGGAGTTACTTCCATTTCCGACTCTGATGTTGAGTTTTAACCTACTTGTATAGATGAGACTTTTCTTCTTGTACTTGAGGGAAACAAAGTTAGTTCATGGGCTACTTTATCATACCCTTTGATAAATTGGGTGTCAGGCGGTTTTCTTTTAAGTACTGATGTATATGAGGAACAGCCCTGAGGACTTGTTGGATGAGGAGTTTAATTTTGAGTTTTTTTATTTAAACTAGGAAAATCTTCTGGTTTTCGGGTAAAGCCTTGGTTTGCATTAATTAGCCGTGGATGCAGTTTAGCTGCTTCATAAAAAGAAAGGTTGTAGAAGCTCATGGTTTCGTTAATTTGTTTTTGCCGTTTATATTCGGGACATCCCCAGTCAGTAGCAGTGTGGTGTCCCTTGCAATTTACGCAGCTTGGTTTTGGATTTACTTCACAATTTGGAATTTTACACATTTTAGTCAGATTGTTAAGATGATCTGCGGGGCATTTCATTTTTTTCATTGCTTGCTCTCTTTTTTCACAAACAAACATGAGATGATCTTCTGTACAAAAACCGCAACGAGGCTTGCCTCTACAATTATTTTTGACATGTCCAAATCTGCAACAATTGACGCACATTATAACCGGGTTAACATATTTTTCCACTTCTCTTTCATTATTAAAAATATTTACAGTTTGGGGTAATGATTTGCCTTCAAATGTTACAATATAATCGTTTGTGGGGATGGTTTTCATTACTGTTTCGCCAGAAATAGCAAGTATTTTCTTCCTTCTTAAGACTCTTTTTACATTTAATATCTTAATCGACCTGGCCCGGGATCCTTCCCCTGTATAAGTTACCGCTTCTGAGTAAAAATCCTCTTCCGTAATTTGGTCCCCTACATCCTTGATTAGTCCTCTACAAGTGACAAGACGTTTTGGAATGTACCTATTATAGCCTCTAGCAGAACTGAAACTTTCATTTGACAAAAACTGATTAGCATACTCTGATGTTCTGAATTCAATTCCAATTTTATTAGCCCCTTTTCTATTGATTTTTGTTATACCTTGTACTCCAGCTCTGTGCAAAATTTTTCCAATATTCATCGGGTGAATGTTTCCAACTTGAGAAGTTATTCCCTCCATTATGATAAGAAATGGTCCCTGGTCTGTAAGTTCATATTTATACTTTCGGTTAAGTGTTCTCCTTATGTTGACTGAAATTCTTGCAATTTCGTTTAGGGCATCCTGATCTTCCACGAAGACAGATTTAAGCTTTTGTAACTGTCTCCAATAAATCTATTTCCTCCTTAGTGGGTACTAAGAAGCATTAATGCTGAGCGATAGCATGTGCTGTTTTCTTAGCTAAAGGCGAAAGCGTCAAGGCTGATGAATAACCGCTGCTAGAGGAGGTAGCAGCTTGGGACAAGTTTAGTTGAGCTGGAAAGGAAACAAAATCATTTGCGAACACTATCGGATTATTAACTACGATACATCGTTTCTATCAGGGGGGTCTTTACCCCCCGAAGCACATGCCATGATATGAAAAGCACTAAATTATTGCGAACTGCGACACCAAACCAAAGCAAATATTTACGGCTGACTAAATATAAAACTCACCCAGACCGAAAAATTCTGTTGAAGACTAGAATTACGTCAAAAAAATGAAAATTTTCTCGGACCGAGGTAAAATTGTGCACACCACTTCACCTGGTTGACCGAAAAAAATATATATTTTAGGTTACTATCTAACAATTCTGCAAAATAATACACACTACTAATTTGCGTTTGGAGTTACCTAGGTAATGTTAAAATGAAAACTTATCTATGCAACTTAAGAGACTCAAACTGATAGCGACTAGTAATGTGACATGGCCTGTAAATTGAATCAAGAGATCGGAAAAAAAATTTAATGTGCTATAAGTCAGTGAACCAAAATCGTTGGAATTGGGATTCGAAACGCGTATCTTACCAAAGGACCAATTTTATCGGGTTTTCCATTAAATTTAGAATCTTGTACTTGTTTCCTCAAAATCAGAGTCTGTTGAAGTCTTTTATTTAATGCCGCCGCTTCTTCAAACTTCCATTTCAACACATTCTGCTGATTAGCATGCATTAACTTAATTTTTGTTATTTCAGTTTGCTTTTTCTGATCTTGTTGCTCTACACGTGTTAACTCTCTACAAAGATAAGATTAAAAATTCAAAAATTTTATGTAAATTTTAATATTAGTTTGATCACAAAATAATACATTAATTTGCTTTGAAAAGTGAAAACGGTTGCTAAAATTCAAAGATTTCCATGTTGCGTTGTCCAATATTGCATCTGTATGGAAGACCCTACCCATATTTTAATTTATTACAATTACAGATTCTATTTATATATATTTATATATATTTATATATATTATTTATATTTATATATATATATTTATATAACAGATTTTGCCACCTTGTACTAGTTTCATGGCTCCCGTCTGTTTGTTACCAAAGATATGGCCAACCCGGTATGAAAATAAAAAATATTATATAGAAATTTTTTTGTAAGGATGTGTAACTGTGCGATGAGAATAACTTGGGTGAATATTATGGAGCTGCATCATAACTATTAATACCTAACAATATTAACAATTAATAACATGAATATAAATGATATTTTGAGTTTAAGGAAGTCTACATTATAGATCCGACGTAACAAAACGTTAAAACGTTGGCACTGAGATAAGTTGGTATAATAACTACATATAATTTTTTTTAGTTTTCAAAATTCCTCCATATTAAAAAAGTTTGTAAACTTCTATAAACATACCTCATTTCGGTTTCACTCTTAACTCGTTCTAACTGCAGAAGACTTAGGCCTTGGTTTATCACTGGTTTGTTCTTAATTTTTCGCGCTCTGTCAGCATATCTCAAGGTCGAAAGAGTTTCTTCCAAATTATAGTCCGCAGGGCTAACACATGCTATCATCAGCGATCCGGAAAAAATCCTTTTATTATCTATAATCTATTGCCATTTTCGTTTCTCACCTCTTCACCATATTTTCCTATCGCGTTGTCGTTGTCTTGCTTCCCTCTTCTACTATTCATGTCCCCCAGTTTTATAAGTTAATTCTTCTTTCTCGCTCACCAGAGCGTCTTAGTTTACGCCGTATGCTCAAAAAATTGTGGTTTTGTGTCCGCGCATGAGCATATTTACACCTTCGTGTCATAATAGATACTCCCTGTTTACCGCTCTGGTCTTTAGGTACGCCACTAAAGAAATGATCGAAGTACCTGAGATTTTCTAACCCCTGTCCTTTTCTCATAGTCTCCTTAATTAATACAATGTCTATCTTGATCTTCATGAGTTATCATGTAACTTCATTTATTATCCGAAATAGGATGCTTTTCCGAAGCTTAAGTCGTTTCCGAAGTTCCGATCCATTTTGAAGCAAAGTTTGGGCCTTTCAACATTTTAGTTTTATTCCGAATATCGGGGATTGCTTTCTCTACAGGTCAGGACTACTATCTACCACCTGTTGCTCCGCGGATGGTATTTCCTTCCCCACCTATCCGCCGGTGTGATTAAATTCATCAGAGCCTTGCTCTAACCACCACCCGAGGACGCGCCCTCTAAGGGTTATAGGCTCCCCTATACAAATTGTTAAAGAAATGTCTGTATTATTATTATTATTATTTGTTTTGTTCATTCGGAAACGTTGGAAATCGAAAACTGATGATCGGTCAAAGCAGAGTCTGACCCAGTTCTAAATTAAGGTGGATACAATCGCGTTCGCAAATCTTGAAAGATAAAAATAAAATTTGGGTTAATTCGGAAAGGAGATTTACTGGTAAATGAGCCGAAACACCTGGCTAATCTGTAAACGATCATCGTCGGATGAAATTTATACGCCATAAGTTTACAGTACGACAAAGGCTGAGGAGGATGTTGGAAGTTTGCCATTATTTTGAGTTTTTTTAGTTTTAGAATTAGAAAGAAACCGCCCGTTCATTCTTTCAGTTTCGCGCTTAGTTTTCGGCTTCGTTGGTCATCAAGTCTCCGTTGTCAGATACGCCATGTTACACAGTTACTTAAACACCAAATTAGGATTCATTCAACCAAGATAAATGCTCCGGGCACGATAAATTTCCCTCAATCTATTTTAAATCTTGTAGGGAATCTCTGCTGCTGAGGCTAGTTTAAATTTTTAATAAAAATTTATTAAAAGGGCACTCCCCAACTATTTGTTTTGGTTAATTGTCAAACTGCAAATTCCGTGGATACACACATTAAAATTTTGCTAAAATTAGTTCAGTCCAAAAGTTGCCAATGTTAAATTTCAAATTATTCACGGAAATTATTACCTTACGCTGGATGAGCCAATCAAAGTTTCATCGATCCACGTCACTTCTGATCCGGGAAAAATTCTGGAGGCAATTATAACTTAATAATTTATACTTAGTACGTTCTTGGTGAAACGCAACATAGTTTTTTTAGAGGTAGATGCGTCTGCTAATCTCTGACTGTATATTCGAGATGTGTCTGAGGCGTGAGATAATAGAAAGCAAAATCGATGCCGTGTGCACTGATTTTTCCAAGGCATTCGATAAAGTATATCATCCGATAATATTAGCGAAACTTAAAACTTTCGGTGTGCACTGCTTTTCTTACCAAATCCGGGACTCGGTATGTTAGTTAAATGTCATGTCTGGGATACTTGGGACCTCTGTTGCAAGTTTCAGGAGAATCTTGATAGTTTTTTTGGCTTCTGCGTAAAAAATCGACTGTTTTTAGTTGTTGAGAAATGTTACAATATTTACATTAGTAAACTAAACTTCAGAAATTTTGTTACTTCAACTTTTAGAATAAGATAAAAGTGGACATTTTTGGTGCGAATTTGTGAATTGTAACGTTAATTCCCCATGTGAGAGTGATTTTTCATAAAACGAATTTTTTTAAAAAATCTTGTAGATTCTTTGCCTGAACAATGATAATAATATTATGACAATTGCTCAGTTTTGGTTACTTTTGGTTAAATTTCAAAGTGCATATTCCTTGGGTAAACACCATTTTTCCAAAATTACTTTAGTCCAAAAGTTAAATTTTCGATTATACTCCTTGATTTCTCTGCCTGAAAAAGGAACCCATAGAATGTAAAATTTCAATAAAGTTATGGCTTATTTTTTTATTTAAATTACGATTTCTAGTGGCCATTTTTTACAAAATTTCCCACAATTGCCCTTTCGAAATTTTTTACTTTTGGGCATCTACATGGCGAAAAAGAAGAATATTTTTAAAATAAAACGTAGTTACTTAAGTTACTTTCTTACTTTCTTCCAAATACATTCTCCAAAATGGAGATTCTTCTACTCCATCATTGGAAGGCTGCCCGACTGCATAACATAATGCCATAAATCTTATGCGGCATCTCTGCTGCTGCGGCTATTTTTAATCTTTAATAAAAGTTTATCAGATGGGCACTATGTACTATGGAAATGTGCCAATTTTTTGCAAAATCATACCCTTGCATTTAACTATTTTTTTCAATTTTTTTACATTATCTCAGAAAACGCCATCTAGTGGCAGGGTACTCAATCATTTGATAACCTAGGAAAGGCTCCTACTCAATGTCTATTAAAATTCCGTCATGTCCAATTCACCTAATTCTTTTTTAATTCTCTGGAATGTCCGTCTCCCCAATGCCGTATCTGGTTATCCTTACTGGGACACTCGTTATAAAGTGTACACCCGTATATTAACAGGCAGGTTGGAAAATAAATTATTTCAAAAGACTATAGAATACAATAGACAGCTGGTTCTTGCCTTTGTGCATTTCCATGAAGCTTTCGGCACTGTTAAATCATCTGATATCCTCAAAGAAATAAAAGAAAATAGAATAGACCATAGATATGAAGATACCAGGTAATTTCCAATTATGAGAGGTAAAAGTCTGTTCATAGATATAAGAAAGTGACTAACTGATACGAATTAAGGAAAGACCCGGCAAGCTGTAAGGATGAAATATGGCCGAACAGGTCCGTACTTTGCTTCGAATTTAATTGTTCGGGGTTTTGTTAGGAAATATTTATTTTTTTATGTATGTATTTATGCTTAAATCTAATATAAAATTACAAATTATTTTTATTACCTCTCTAGTTCGAGTTTAGAATAGGTCTAAAATCTTAAATCTAAATCTAAAATCTTAATTCGTTCGGCATCGTAGCACTCCGCTACGACCATTTCTTCCTCGTCCTCCTTGACGCCTTTGACTTTTATCAGTTCAGTAATTTGCTCATTTTTCGATTCGAGGTGTTGGCGTAGCTCGTTTATTATAGTCTTGCATGTTTGCACCTCTAGAAACAGTTGCTCTTTCTCATTACGGACCTTGCCCAGTAAACATCCTTTTTCCCTTGTTACGTCCCTTCTGAGCTCCTCGAAAGAAACTACCTGAGCCGACAAGGTAGCGATGAAGCACTGATCTTTTTCGTAGTGTTCGTTCAACGTAGAATATTTTAAGTTTAAACTCTTGTTATCTGCCTCCAAAGCTTTGTTCCGAGCCTTGATAGCTTCGATTTTTCTCCTCAGTTCTTCGTTGATAGCCTTTACGTCTCTGCTTTCCTGTTCCAGGCTCGTCAATTTCTGGTATGTCTTTGCGTAACTCTGCTGAGTATCCTGCATCATCTTAATTTTGTCCTTCAGCTCCCTGTTTTTGCTCTGCAATTCGTTAATCAGCTCAGATTTACCTTTCCACTTGCTATTGCCGAGCAACGAAGTCAGTTCTTCCCCCGTCTCTCGTTTCAGGTACTCGTTGGCAGTTTTCAGGTCGTTTTTAAGCTGCGCGTTGGCGTCCCTCCCCTCCACCAACTTGTTGGAAGTAGCACGGAGCTTTTCTTCCAGCCGCTTCGTCTCGACGTCTTCGCATCTGAATTCTGCAATTGGTTCGCAACGAGTCGATCGATTTTCCAATTCGAGGACGTAGTTTTCAAGTTTCGCATACTTGGACTTGCATGATTCAAGTTCTGCGCACTTTTCGCGCAGCTTCTTGCTGATCTCGACGATCTTGGCGCTGACCAAGTGATTGGGAGTAGCGGCGACCATGTCGGACGAGTCCTGGTACTCCTTGAGTTTCGTTTCTAGTTTTAGCAACTTGCGTTGGGTGTCTTCGTTTTGTTTCTCTTTTTCTGCAATGTCCTTCCTCAAGACGGAGTTTTCGCGGGTACAGGTTTTCAATTCTTCCCGAAGGTAGCGGCATAACTCGTCCGGGAATAAAATATCTTCCGGGACGCGCGAATCAGTTACGTCACCGACGTCCAGTGACATGTCAACGTCATATAGATCCTCATTGAAATTGGGCACTAACCTGTGGCAACATGTCAACATCATATAGACCCTATGGAAGTAGAACTAACCAAAGAAGTGGACGTAGTTCCCTCGACAACAGGCTCCATTGTTTCTATTGAAAACTGAGAGACGGGAACGCTACTCAAGAGAATTTGCGTTCATTGCTTCGTTCCGCTGACTTCATAATTCTTTGAAGAAATGAAGATTTTAACGAGGACCTGGTGCAAGCTGGAGAAGATGTGGCAATTAGAAGAGATGTTTTACCACAAACAGACCCTTTCCAATTTCAAGTTTATGCAGTTGCAATGTCGTTGTGAAAATAGTTTAGCCAATATATGTGGTTTATATCATTAGGAAGGTAAACATTTACAACGGACATGTGCCTATTTGCAATATACTAGATTATCGTGGCTTTATGCTAGCAGCCATCAAGAGATTACTCGTTGGTACTTTGTGGCAGTGACAGTAACAAGTAGAGGAAGCAACCGGTATATTAGTTAATGATAATTAATGATACTTTTAAAGCTGAAGCAAATTCAAAAGTTTTTCTTAGATGCTTAAAGGAGATGGATAAATAATCCTGTAAAAACTCAACAAACAACACATTGAAAATCGAATCTCAATATCAAACACGATTGCATTTTTCAAAATATTTCTGTTTTTTTTTTTTAGTATTGTTATATTGTTCAATTTTTATGAAACAAATTATCATAATATTACAGAGACATAGAAAATACATGAATCCATCTCCAAGTATGTGCGTACAATAACAACATTTGTTATAAATATTTTATTCTATCTAGCACTTTATTGCCGCCTATGCCATCACAAATCGTACCGACTATACGTTGTGTCTTATTCGTCTGCCGAAGTAGATGACATGTTGATTTTGTTTTCCCAGTGTCATTATTAATATGTTATTATAGTAGAATGGTATTTAGTCGATGAAGTAAATGTTTGCGCGAGTTCATCCTAATCCAGTGCATAGAAGAAACCGACCGAAGTTAGGGACGAGGAAAACGTCATTAAGGCTCTTCCCTAAGTCCACATTCATCCAAACTGACGCATAAAAAGAGTAAGTTTGGACTTGAACGTTAGTAAAACATTGATACACCGAATTCTAATTCCTTTGACCAAAGGTATCCAAACTGTTGGATAGGAAGGGAAAATTTGTATAAAAATTTAAGATGGTAATTACGCCCTCTGGTGGCTATTTCAGAAACTCAAAAGTATTTTCTCTTGGCTCATTTACCAATTGTTTTTTTATTTTTAGAAACATCCGTTTCCCTAATACACGTTGTATAGAAAAGTTCCCCAATGTGCCATTTCTGAAAAACAAATCTTGAAATATACGACGCACGCTATTTAGAGAGGGATTTTGATATGTCTTAAACAAGTCTATCACAAGTCTATGATATCTTCAAAAAGTGATATTGCTAAGCTGTTCACATCTTACTTCAATTTCCTCATTCCTTAAATAGAAAACACGACTTTCCTATGTCGCTGGATAATAATTTTAAATGCTTGGACTTGGAATGTGTTAAATTATTAACATGTGTATTTTTCGTTTTGGAAAGTCAGCTTGATTTAATTCAAATATTATATACAATATGAAAAAAAACCGGATGTCACAAAGGCTTCAGAAGTAGGAGTAGTAGCTCAGAAAACGTTCAAATGTCGAAGATAAAATCTAAAATATGTACTTTTATAATTAAAATAAAATATGACATTAAAAAAGATCCTAAGAAGTTTTGGTAGTTCGTTAAAAACAGAAGCGAAATCTGAGGGGTACATTCGCGGCGGTGGTTTTTTCAAGAAGTTTAATGTTTTTCGTAATTCATACCACTCTGAAAATGGAAGCAAAGAATTTCTCCGAATCTGAAAAAAAAATCTTTTTTTTCAATGAGTCCAGTTTTAATCCCTGCATCTCTTATACATTACTGTCGCATTGTTTTGACTAAACCGTTTGTAATACTTTTTAATCCATGTCTAACAAAGTAAGAACTTTCTCGTATACGAAAAATGTCGAAATTTTTCCCGTACACAAAAAAGACTGTAACCAGCAAATCACAAACTATAGGGCTATTTTCACTATCTGTAATTTCTGTTAAGTTTTACAAGCCCTCCTACATGACAAGATATTTCATGTTGTTGGGAACCAAGTAGTCCCCAACATGGATACCTTAAAGGGAGATTCACCATTACCAATTTAACTAATCAAAATATTTCTCAAGTAGACGTCACATATCTTGATTTTTCAAAAGCGGTTGATCTGCTAGATTGCTAAATTCTGATCCACTGAATTTTCTGAATCGCTTGCTAATTTGTTTTCTTCATACGTTGCTTTCTCAGGCGTTCCTCAAGGCTCAATATTGGGGCCATTATTATTCTCATAATGTCATTGCTAACGATCTTGAGTGTTTAGAAGATTGTCTTACGCTCCAGCGTAGTTCGAAGCAAATCAACAATATGTCTATAATAACTTGCCGCTTAGTACAGCCAAGTGCAATGCAGTGTCTTTCACCACCATGGGTGTAACTGGGAAAAATGATTATCATATTTTTATAAAACTCTCTTCCGTTCTAACACTTTTTAGCATAAACTTTTGAAATATGTATGATATAAATTGAATAGAGTATCTCCGCCACCAGATTTTTCGTATGCAATATTATTAAATAGGTTTGGACATGATTGCCATTATTTAATAACTGTATTGAAAAATTGAAATTGCGCTGGCATGTTATATAGACTAATTTTGTTTGTTCCCCATATAAATTCTAGACATGGTAACTAAACATTCTATCTGTCCACGCCAAAAACAAATATATAATAAATTTCAACAATTTTCTCAATGTTATTATAATTTTCCTCTTCTCTTGTTCTTTTTTATTACTATTATCTAACGTTAGGTTAGATTTTAGATTAAATTTCGTGATCTTAATATTCCATTTTAGTGCAACCTACCTATTAGTTTTGCTTCATGCCTATTAAATAGACTTTTTTTTTTAATAAATAAACAAATCAGCTATTTTTAGAAGTTTTAGATGTGTTATACTTGTCAGAATATTGCAAGGAAATTGTTTTATTATCAAAGAGTTAATGTGTTCGTTGTGCCTTTTTTTATAAAATTATAAATGTTTATTTTTCCGTGTCGAATTAATTTTTAACTAATATGCTACACATGTTATCTGAGAATAAATAGTGCTCATAACGAGTCAGGCGATGAATAAATCATTTTTCTTTATTTTTATTACTTTTTAAATAATTTTCATATTGTAATTAAAATTTACTCTTTCAACTCTTTTTTGTTCATTTGTATATTTGTTTTTTTTTAAGCTATACGTTAAACCATCGCCATTGACTCTATTATTAATCGAAAAGTGATTATGTTCCACGCATACTTTAAAATATATAAAAATGCATTCAAAAATATCCGCAGGCGCTTTTTCGAAGTGTAAAAATAAAATTTTCACGGCGCGTAAAACATCTGCAAATCCTCGCCTAGCTTCGTTTATTTGATCGCGTCTGTTTGAAAATAAATCTGGGCGTGAACTTTGAAAACGCATCTTTCAAACGTGCCTGCATGTATCGAATAACGGCATTATTTTATCTCTTTAATATCGGATCGGTCGTCGCAGTCGCTCACAAAAGGATAGCCACGGAAAGTCTTTTTTTAAATTTTTATCAAGCATTTTTGAAAAACCTTCTGCCGTGTTGAAAAACGATTTGAGATTATCACGCAATTGTCAAATTTCCCTGCCAATATGGTCTGAATGACCATAATCTCAATCAGAATTATTAGAAAACCTTTTAACTGTTTAAAACTAATAATAACAACGCAAAATATTAAACATTAATATTTTTATCTTTTTTAATTAAATTGAAACAATAAATTTTACCTGATACTAACGAGAATTTTTTTATTAAAATTAATTAAATTATTGATCAACCACTAAATATAAATTTTTAGAAAGCTGGCACTGGAAATAAGAATATCTAGACCACAACAAAATTGTTCTTTTAAGTTACTTACTCTGCTAGCGTGGTATTAACGATCTTGCTTGTAAAGTTTATTTCTTAATCCAGCAGTATCTTCACCAAAGTGGACGACAAGTAGTAAAAATTTGAAGAGGAACCAAGGATATAAACTTACAAATATCGATCATTGGACCATAAGTTGGTTTAGGTTGGTCCATGTGCAAACTTAGCTTCTCCCAAGAGTGATTTTGTACAATTTATTTTCTTTCGTTGAAGTTTGTTAGGTTCTCTTGTAATTTTTCATACTTTAATTTTAACTTGACAGATCATATGGTGCACACATTTTAAAAATCTTATGCAGCAGTGTAATAGGACGTAAAAATATCTGATTGAAAATTTTGAACCTTCATGAATGTTGAGAAAAAAATTTTTATGTGTGGGGATTTGTAAAGGTATCCTGCCATGGATTACTGTTAAGCACAATGTCCAAATAATTTCTAGAATATGTGGACTTGAATTTGAAAATTAAAATCTACTTTTTCTTTTGTGTATCATATTTTAAACGACCTACCAAATCGTTTAGATTGTAGAAGTCATTAAAAAGCAACCAAAGTGGTAGTGTAGTAGCAAATTTGCTAGAGTCATCACAGGATGAGTTGCAAATTTTTTGAATATAATTAGAATGGAAAAAAATTACAAATCGCGATAGTTCTCATTTTAAAAACTCAAATAAATTGATAAGAATACATTCTTACAGTAAAATTATTCTTGAAATTATGTGGTTTAGCAAACATGCCAGTGGAACCGATGCATTTGTCTCCTAAATTTGTATCCCGTTGGGTAGACTTTCCTTTTTTCCTGAGACATAACTTGGGTAAATATCGCAGTTCCTCTCTTTACCTCTAATTACGATGACTTTTTGTTAAATTATTTTCTAACGCTTCCTATGGAGAATAAGGCACTGGCTCTTTAAGCGTTTCATTTTTGCCAGTCTGCTAGGGCTCACCGTAGCTTCCTTCAGTACCACAGAAAGATCTTGTTGAAAGCTATGTCGAGCAGCTACCATTAAATTTGGGTTGATGCTTTAGACAGCTTAAATGCGTCTCAATTTTATGACCTTAACGACTTATTTTCAAACACCACATGCGGGCGACCCTTAGATAAATGTCCTGCCTTGGTTTTAACCGAAGCATTTGTATTTGTCTTGTGGTGTTTGGAAAATTGAAACCATTAAAAGCCAACCTTCGTTTTTTTTTAGAATAACTATTTTGCTATTTCATAAAACAAGAAACTCCTTCAAACTAGAGAAAAAATGTCTTATACATCACAAATAAATAAGAATAAATAAAGAATAAATAAATACAGACGCAAACTTTCAATTTTTTAAAAACTAAAGCCTAATTGATTTTTAGTCAATATCTCGGTGCAATGAAGGGGTCATCAGCCGATATCATACGTGTGTTAAAATATCTTATTTATCATTATTTATAAAATAAACTAAAAACATATATATTTTTGCGAAACAGCTAAAAAATCAACTGCAAAATAAAACAAATATTCTCTAAACACCTTGGCAAAAATATTTTGTAGAATAAAAACTATTTTTCACTTGCCTTACGTATTTCCGTTGCCATTAAGAATGTGAAAAATTTATTAAATACATTTATGCTCTCTTGTTTTCCTTCATTACTTTGTACTTTACTCGCCACTTCTTCTCTCATTAGATCTGAAAGATCTTTTAATTGTTTTGAAAGCAACATTTGTTTGCTTTTTGTAGCAGAAATTGTTTTTGTCATTTTTGTTAGAACTTCATTTTCTTCAAACTGCATATTTGTATCTTCTAGCACTTTTCAGTCAACTCCTTAAAAAAGTCAAATGTAATTCGTTTTCCTCCAGTATTTTTGTCTATCATAATGTCTTTAACTTTCGTGTACTTTCAGAAGTGTATTGTTTCAGCTCTTTTGAAATTATCCTCCAGACCTCATCGTTTTTCACTCCTAATTGCTTAATTGTAAATGAATTAATTTTAGAATATTTCATGTTTACATCATAAACTAGATTTCCACATTCACCTGTCACAAAGTTGTGAGTGTGGGTGCTCATTTCTTGAAAATAAAAAAAAGTTAGAGAACAACTGTTTAAATGCACATGCGGGACAGTTTTATTTTTTTTTTAATTTAAATATTACAATTATATTATAAATTATATGTTTATATCTTTTTATAACCCTGAACGCTGCACCAGACCAAATGACCATTGACGTAAACTTTACAGTAATATTTTTGCCATTTCTTCTGAAGGGCTACATGAAACAATTTTTTCAAGAAATATTAGTTAAGTCATTTTTTCGCTACTCTATCCACGCCCATACTATATATCGGCGTCCTTAGTTTTAAGTGGTCGAACGCAATCCGGTGAAGATAATCTTGCGTCATAAAACCACTGGTTAAGTGTGGATTTTGAGTAGCTCCGATAGTTTATTTGTGATTGGCAATTTTGTAGTTGACCTAGCGGGTCGCGGATCGTTGGATTCCCTTTCATAATCAATTAAGTGATTAGCTAATTGGTTTGTTTTAAGCACTGTGTTGTGAATTCTTTTAATATGTTCTAGAAGTCTAACCCTATGTGGCCTCTCTCGAAATCATTTTTAATATTAGAGGAAAAGGTGGTAATGTGGCCCCTGCGGATATATTGTCCCCTTCAATATTTTAATATTTGAAAAACGCCATCTAGTATGTTTTATGCGCTACGGGATGCTCCCGGCACCATACGTATTTAGTACCTTACAAATCCACCAGAGCCTGTCATGTTCGATTGCCATTCGAAACAGTTGAAACTCGTTTCCGGTAAAACTTAAACTACTGTGATTTTAATTTGGTAATTGTTTATAAATAGTTTTGTGGCTATTGTGTTCGGACAACTAACCAACTAATATAATATAGTTGTCTATGGTTCGGACATTGGATACGTTGAACTGTTCTTCTTCGAGAATTAAAAGGTAAAGACAAAATTAAATTTGTAATAATCATTTTTGATACGTTTGTTTAACAAAAAAAATGGGATCCTGAACAAATGAAATCAGCAATTAATGAAGTAAGGTCATGGGATATAAAAAGGCTGTAAAAATGTATTCTGTGCCTAGTTCTACACTGAAACGATTAGTAAAGAACCCTCCAGAATCTTTAGAGTTGCTTGTACATAAACCACTAGAAAGGAAACGTGTACTTCCAGCTGAGCTGGAAAAAAAGTTAGTGGAGTATATCTTGTTTATGGAGTCCAGGTACTATGGGCTTACTAGAATGGATGTTCGGCAAACGGCTTATCAGTTAGCTGTTAAAAATGGTATTCTTAATACATTTAAGAATGAAGCAGCAGGGCGTGCTTGGTTAGATCACTTTTTAAACCGACATAAAGACACTTTATCTTTACGCAGACCAATGAGGACATCATATGCTCGTACTCAAGGCTTCAATCGTCAAGCAGTCAAAGAATTTTTTGATATTTTGGAAGCCGAAATGAGAAAAACTAATCCTGCTGGCAGGATTTTTAATATTGAAAAAACTGGATTGACAATCGTGCAGTCAGGTGTTAGGTAAAATGGCAAGAAGCTGCTGCAGAATGAGAATCACTATGTTTGCTGCATGAACGCATCGGGTATATTTGTGCCACCTATGATGCTTTTCCCCAGGAAAAACATTCATCCAATTTCTACGACCAAGACTAGGACTTCTAATCGTGGAAGAAAGGCTACAGCAAAGGTGTCATCACCATACAAAAATCAATTAACCGAATCTTTGCGCTTAGCACAGAATCGTGGACGCGGACGCTGACGTGGACACGGTGTCAGACGTAATCACGACAGAGAAGGATCCGGTAGGCATGTCGATCGACGCCAGAGAAAAGCTACGTCGAGCAGTGGCTCTGAAAGTGACGAAGACGCAGTGAATACCGATTATGTCGAGTCTGCGAAACCATTTATTGCAATGACAGACCTGGAGAGCCATGGGTACAGTGTTAAAGTTGCAATTTATGGGCTCATGTAGCCTGTGGAGGTTCTGAAGGTTACTATCATATAGGGTGTTTTTTTTTTCGATGTATAGAACTTTAAGTTGCAATAAAACAACGATGGATTATTCAATTGACATTAATTTTATTTATCCGAAACATAATCTTGTGGCATTATATTTTAAATATGATTTCTGGCATATCTGGACGTCCAATTTTCGATGACTTTTTCCAACATTTGTGTTGTCTTCCAAATGGTCAAGAGTATGTGGCTTATCCGCATAGACCAATGACTTTACATAGCCCCACAGAAAGTACTCTAGCGGTGTTAAATCACAAGATTTTGGAGGCCAATTCACAGGTCCAAGACGTGAAATTAGGGGGTCACCAAACGTGTCTTTCAATAAATCGATTGTAGCACGAGCTGTGTGACATGTTGCGCCGTCTTGTTGAAACCACATCTCCTGGACATCATGGTTATTCAATTCAGGAATGAAAGAGTTAGTAATCATAACTCTATACCGATCACCATTGACTGTAACGTTCTGGCCATCATCGTTTTTGAAGAAGTACGGACCAATGATTCCATCAGCCCATAAAGCGCACCAAACAGTCAGTTTTTCTGGATGTAACGGTGTTTCGACATACACTTGAGGATTAGCTTCGCTCCAAATGCGGCAATTTTGTTTGTTGACGTAGCCGTTCAACCAGAAGTGCGCTTCATCACTAAACAAAATTCGCTTATGAAAATCGGGAACAACGGCAATCTCGTTTTGGGCCCATTCGACGAATCTACGCCTTACTTGATGATCGTTTGGCTTCAATTCTTGCACGAGTCGGATTTTGTAAGCACGTACACCAAGATCCGTCAGCAAAATCTTCCATAAAGTGGATGGACACAGATCCAATTCCTGTGCTCTATGGCAGATGGACTCATTCGGGTCTTCCTCAATGCTACGCTCTTCAGCAGCAATAGCTTCTTCTGTACGCACCGTACGACGTTGCTGGGGACGCGAGTTAACAATAAGAGTAAACGTGGTGCGAAAATGTTCCATGGTTAATCGAATTAACTGCTCTGATGGACGATTTTGTCGACGATAAAATGGACGTAGTGCGCGATACGTATTCCGCACAGAACCATTATTTTCGAAATAAAATTGCACCATTTGCAAGCGTTGTTCATGCGTGAGTCTATTCATGATGAATTGCCAAACCAAACTGAGAATAAATCACTTGACAGCTGTTAAATCGGTCGCCATCTTGAACAGTAATGCCAACTTAAAGTTCTATACATCGAAAAAAAACACCCACTATTTGTGATTTGTGCCGTTAATTTTAAATTGTGCAATACATTTAATGTGACTCCCCAGGGGTCATTGATCTCAAGATACGAAATTTGAATAACTTAAGAATAAATAATATTTTTGCTATCTTGTAAACTTAAAAAACAAAGTGGGGGGGGGGGGGTCACTTTACCACCTTTTCCTCTATTTATTTGTTACGATCTCCGACATATATTACAATTTCCCAACAACATTTTATATAACTCAAAGTGTTTTTCTGCAATTGTAAAGTTTTACTCTCTAAAACCTGCCAGATAATTGAGAACTAGGAAACAGGCTTTAACTGAATCGCCCTGTAGATGTATCGGTATTTTCCCTAAACGATACGCTGCAAAAAATATGCCAAATATTCCGCATTTATGCAAACCATTACGTTAGACGCGATTATCATTTCGCTTGTAGGTCATCACTGTATGCGTGTGGAGTACATTTTAACCTTTGCTATGTTTGCAACGCACGCCGCGATCATTATAAGCTTGTACGCTCTTACAGACCCTTGTCTGGCCAATCGTAAACACATGTTGAGACCCACTTATAAGCGAAACCTTGTAGGCAGCGAATGCGGAAGACCCCTGGGCAATGAATACGTCATCGAAACTGACCGCATCGTAGCTGGCTACGACGTCGGGTACTACAGGTACCCATGGTACGCGGCGCTGGTACGCTCGAACCAAGTAAACTGCGGCGGTGCTTTGATTGGACCCCAAATTGTCCTCACCGCAGCTCATTGTTTCAAAGAGTACCTCCACTCTGCTAGGTAATTGACTTCACTGCTACGGCTACCGCCGATATAACAGGTTTGTTTAGTCAGGGAGGCAAATTGGAGGACATTTACACAGTCAGACTAGGAATGTACAACATTTGCGCCAGCGAAAAGGAGGTGACCGAATACAGGGTCGTCAAAGTGGAAATCCACGAACTTTATCCCAAGAAGAAGCCGTACTACGACATTTGCCTGTTGACATTGGCAAACAGCACCGACTCATACAGGCCTGTATGCTTACCTAATCTGAGTACGTTTACTTAATTCATTAGTGCCTTTTGTCTTTTGGCACATTGATAGCTTGAGCATTTCTAACGAATTCTTCCAGCCTATAGTGGTTGGCATTTTCACATAAAAAATATTAATAATAATATTTATATTCACCTTTTTATAACAACACTTAAATGAAAATGAAGAAGGCCATTGCACAGAAACTATGTTAAAATAGTTTGTTTCGGCACTCTGTTAAATATATTAAGCATGTTAGGCATTTCCCTCTATGACGTAAAGTTTATGTCAACATTAAAAGAAAATAAACGAAAAGCTCGGTTGATTTTAACATTATTTTTATTAGTACAAGAACAAAAACCGAATTACAAAATCTGAATTAAAGTCTCTAACAATGGTTAAATCCCCTTATTTCTGGAAGATTTGTCCCTCTTGGGCGAAAAACTTCGTTTAGCAGATTTTCTTGAATATTCCATGGCCGGACTGCCCCTTTTTAATGACTTTTATATCTTGGTGGAACCTCTCACCTTGCTTCTCACTCACGGCGCCAAGATTTTCGGGAAAGTAGTGTAGATGTGAGTGTAAAAAGTATAGTTTTATGTTCATATTGCATCCCATTTCTCTAAATTTCTCCAACATGTTTTCTACAATTTCTTTATAATTTGGATATTTGTTGTTTCTAAGAAAATCTAAAAGTACCAATAAGGAGAAACTATCAACAGCTTTACTAAAGTCACACCTTAAAATTTGCTTAAACCATCTATCTAGAAAACACACACGACTGTTTCAATCAATAATTACAATTTCAATCAAATAATTACATCGCCCTTTCTAGTAGGCTTCGTAAAAATAGAGTGCTGCATTTGTTTAGAAATTTAACTACATTTAAAAAATTATTATTGAATTCCTTGGACAAATCAGCGACATCATTTTGTAGTCATTATTATCACTAAACCAAATTTCCCCTTTTAATCCGCCAGACAACCTTTTTCAAAAGTGAGCAACATGCTTTTGTTTAGTGTTTGAGAAAGACACCTCCACTACCTTTATATTATGCATGAACCACGCGTTTTTTCTTTCAAGACCTTCTTACTCTCTCTCTATTTCTCTAGCGGTGGACAATACTTGCGTTTCGAACTTTCATTGTCTTAAAATGTGTTCAAGTGTGCTTTGCGAGATCAGATGTATTTGTTTCTCCACGTTGGGTACGTTTCTTGGGTTCTGCTTTTCTTACATCCAGTGGTCGCTTCGTCTCGCCTAAGTAAGGTTTTCTATACTCGCAGAACACTTCATATATCCAGTCTGTGATGTTCTATGGTTTTGGTTAGTTTTTGTTATTAAGCTTCTTATAGTTTGTTCACAATCGAAGGCGGTTTGACGGTGTATTTTGTTACAATTCTCCTGATCTTTTCGGAAACTTTTACATAGAAAATGGTCATTAGTTGGTTTTGGCTTTACTCTGATTTATGTGCTGTCTTGGTATTGGGACTTAATACGTCTTCAATAAGTCTCTTTGAATAACCGCTCTGCATTAAATCTTCAATTAGATTAACATGGTCAGTAGGCAGAGCTTGGTTGCTACTCTTTGCTCTTTTATATAGTGAATGGATTATTCCTCGTTTGGTTATTGCTGAGTGGTTAATGCGAGCTGAATCCGAGCTCCGTTTTCCTCTTTCTCCATTGTGGATCTTATAGACGGATTGTTGCCACTAATGAGATCCAGAAAATGTTCTAGCTGTTCCCAGTCTGATTCTCAGCCAACTTAATCACCACCGTTGGAGGAAGGCAATACACTTGCCAGAAGATCAATGACAACATGCAGATCAACCATGACAGGAAGCAACAGAGGGTTTAGGAAAGACAACAGAACAGACCAATTACTCCCCACTCCAGCAGAACCATTATTAATAGGTCCGCGAGAACATTGACCGTTGTTCAAGAAAATATCCTTTAAAAAGGACTAACTTTCGCAAAACACCCAAAGAAGCTCCGGTTTTGGATATAATAAGCACAGTTGAGACCATAAACCTGGATCAACCGCAACTAGAAGTCTTTAAGTGGAAAATCACAAGCACCCTTCAACAAAACAAAAAGAAATCAACCAACAATATGACCAGGACGAAGAAAAGAGTAAGACCTGAAACAAGATTTTAGTGTGCTTAACAACTAAAACAAAACCATAGTACATCACACACAAGGAAAAATGTATATATGAAGTAAAGTCTATTCATAGATATAAGAAAGTGACTAACTGATACGAATTAAGGAATGACCCGGGCAAGCTGTAAGAATGAAATATGGCCGAACAGATCCGTACTTTGCTTAGAATTTAATTATTTGGGTTTTTGTTAGGAAAGATACTAAACAATATTTATTTATTTATGTATGTATTTATGTTTAAATCTAAAATAAAATTACAAATTATTTTTATTACCTACTTAAATTACTTAAAATTATTCACATAATATATCAGTATCACTATCGCTATCATCGCCTGTTCGAATTATTATTTGTTCTATATTATTTGCAATAGGGATATACGATTGTTCTGCTTTTTCTATATGTTTAGCAGAATTTGTCCAACTTTGTTGAAGGATGTTAAAAACGGTTTCTATAAGTTTGAGGACATTGGAGTTAACACGGGGAAAAACATTGTTGCGACGAATGGCAAATTTGAGTTGGTGCCAAACATATTCAATGGGATTAAATATACAGTGGTAAGGTGGAAGCCTTAAAACTGTATGCCCTATATTTTTTGCTTAATTATCACAGACGTATTCCTTTTGTAGGTTCAAGCTTTGTAGAACCTCAATTAATTGCCTGCTGGTATAATCTTCGTGAAAATAAATGTCGTTATTATACATGTAGTTTTGGATTGTTGCTTTTGTGTCAAATGAGGAAGGGGTTTTAGTCAACTGTCTACTGTGATAACTTGCATTGTCCATTACAATTACGCTATTAGAAGGAATGTTTTAACTAGTTTGTGTTTAAACCAACTTTCAAATAAATCAGCGGTGGTGTCTTCATGGTAATCCAGAGAAGAATCTTTAATATTTTTCGCAGACAGAGAAAGTCCATTTGGAATCCAACCATCTTTAGAGCCAGCATGCAAAATAGTTATTCTTTTACCTCTTTTTGATGGTGCGTTTGTTTTACACTTATCAGTTGAGTCAACCCAACCCTTTTCCAGTGTATCATAAGTGTCGAACCAGGTTTCATAGGTGTTGTTCTGTGTAAATCCTAATTTTTTGTAGATATTCCATTAAAACTTGCCTTTTGTCATTTTTTTTTAAATCTAATGAATACACTTTTATAAGGTAGTTCTGCCACATTTAACGCCGATTTCATCTTTTTCAAGCCTCCTAATTAAGATATCTAATGTAGGCACGCTTTGTTCCTAGTATAACTGGTAAATTTTACGCCGTATTATATCTTGATCATTTTCATTTACACTCGAGAGAATGTCAGCATCGCTTCTTTTTTTCCTCGCTGAAATGGTATTATTCACAATTTTTCATATAGTTTATGTTGGAATTTTCATAAACGTGGCCGTTTCTTCTAAAAATGCTTGCTTGCTGGCACCACGTTCAATGAAAGTCTAATAAACATTGTTTACAACTTCCTTAGTCTCAATAGAATGATGTTTTCTATATTTGGGAGGGAGCATCTCCTGAGATACACTAGACTCGAACATATTTTGCCTCACCCATTAACTGTCGCCAACCGATGACGTGGCTTCCTCGCCACCCGACAACCTATAAATGCGCTTAGTTTTCACTTGATAGCGGCCAGTGATACTTTCTAGCCGTTTTTAAACAATCTAAATTCGAAACGCCAATATTGACCCGCGATCAGATATGCCATTATTCGTAATTAATTCTAAGTTCTTAACGTTCTACCTCTGGCCATACCAATATACGCAAAGTTTTAAGTGTGTATATGGACTTGTTACGATTGGCACCTGTAACAATTAGGCCTCAACTCCTCCAGTCGGCCGAAAGAGGGCACCGTCCCCGGAATGGGGACGTTAAAATATCAAGGCGAGACACCCTGCACCTTACACGAGGCACGGCTGCTGACGTACGACGATAGCAGTTGTAAAAAAATGATCAACTCGACGGGCAACAACCCTGACGCTATGGTTAATGCGTTTTGTGCCGGTTATCTTCAAGGCGGGATCGACACCTGTCAAGTAAGACCGCAGTCAAGACCGATATGATCTATTGTTTGAAATTTGAATTACGGATAAAAACATTTCGCATAATTTTTAGGGAGACAGTGGGGGTCCGTTGCAATATATCAACGAGAACGGAGATTACGTAGTTATAGGTAAGACATCAACCTTATTAAAAGTGTATAATCCCAAATAGCACACCAACAAGCCGCTCGTTGTGGACAAATAGGCTGCCCAATTGATGCCCGGGATTCCCACTTCTTCTACCTTAACTTACCTTACAAATGTCACATTTCTGGTGTCATTTTCGAATCCAGATATGGTGAACTTTTGAAACCCAAGTATGGATTACTTTTGAAATCCAAAAATGTTCTTTTAAAAAACTATGCAAAAAGATATATTCAAATTTTAAAGCTTTGAACCATGCTAGTAATAATTAATGTGTACTTACTACATGTCATCAATTATTCTTCTTCTCTTTTGTTTCTATGGAATTCTAATTGTTTAGTAAATTTTAAGTAAATATTCAAACAATCCTCCATTAACAGTTAAACAATATCCTAAGAGATCATAATTAGCATATTATGCAGCAAGTGCAGAAAACGGCATTTGACTCACGAGTTTATTTGACACGGGCGAAGCGAGTGCTTAATAAAGGAGTAACTTAAAAAACTTACCGAACGTGTTGCATGCTATACTTTGTCTACGAGCGTTAGTTTTTGGGTAAACAACGCTAATACATTCACTGACATGACCGTCATAATTGATAAACGTTAAAATTGAAGGCGTGGGAATATCTCCGAAAACATCCGATTGCTTCCAAACCCGTGCGGTAGGATCCCGGAAATGTCCGAAGTAGCTCCGATCCGTGAGAAACGAAACACTGAAGTCGTAAAGTGGCGCTTCCCGCAGGTTAGATCAGTGTGTAATTAGGCATTTTACAGACGGGAGTAGAAAAAATTATTTTTTCTACTCCCTTTTTTTTGGATTTTGTTGTATATTAAACACTGGCTCCGCTCGTATCAAAGTTTTCTAATTTAGCCATCATATTTATTTCAATAACTGACGATTGGCTTATTGAAATTTATTCGAACTCCTCACATGAGTTAATCATATCGGCCTGTTAAAAAAGTTATAATACAACTTGCTAAAAAATGTACAATAACATCACAACAAAAACATATTAGACTCCTTGAAATTAGCTTTTGGTATTGCCTCTACATTGTGCCCAAAATTTTGTATCATTTTCTACTTTATCCGAGAGTGGGGAATATTTAAAGGATGTCCAAAAGTGTGCTATCTGAGATCTTCAAAATCTAAGACCTTATTTCGCACAGGGATAGTTTCGTTTGGTTTTCGCTGCGCGGAACCCGGATATCTCGGCCTGTACACGGACGTTTCACGTTACATCGACTGGATAGAAGAGAAGAGCGGATTGAGTGCCATCCAATCGCCTTCGCCTTCAACACAAGGTGAACACTTAATCGAACGAACAGACCGACGCTAATTTAATTAATAATTGTAGCGCCTCATCGCAAGCCATACGTCCACTACGATAAACCATATAGAAGTCCTTTGAGGATTATAATTTTGAAGAATCGTAAATTTCACGAGAAAACAAAACTTGTAAAACATGTACCAATAAAGAGGACCGACCATCAATTAATATAACAACACCAGTTCCACTGTCTTCCAATAATTAAAGCATTTTCTTCCCGCTATTGGGTGTTTTCTCATCGTACATAGAATTTTCGCACGAGCACTAAATAAATATTTAATGATGTGTCATCATCGTATCTGTGCTTGATTCTGAAGTGGAGCATTGCACATGGCGGTTTAGACTTTGATATCGGTTCTTTTGTTGTGCAATTTTTGTTCCGCAAGTTTTTAGTGAATGTTTTAAAGTGTTTAAGTATGCCGCCCCACTGTTTTCTCTGTTCACACCCGTTGGATTCCGTTTGAGCCGCGATGGAAGAGGGGGAAACCGGCTTTTTTTGGTGTCCGTCAAAATCCTTTTTTTGATAACTGAGAACAAATCTTGGCAATATTTTTTTTTACGTGTTGCTCTGAGACCAACAGAAAAAAATTCTCGACGGACGTCGATAATGGGCCAATCGCCATAGTACACTAGTGCAACTATTTGTAAAAAGTAAGCAATAAGAAGTATTCTGTTTTTTTTCTATGGTGGATTCTGTGGTGGAACATTGCACGCGGCGGTTTAACTTCCGTTCGTTCCCTACAGAATCCTTTGTAATCGTCCAAAAATTTTGAAATCGGTCTCTACTGAGTGGATTTAGTGTTGTCAGTGTTTTGTGAACGTTGTAAAGTGATAATCGTCGCCGATCCCTTCGTTTTTCCCCGTTCACGCCGGTATGGAGGCCGGATGGGCCCGGATGGCCCGATCCGGTAGCGGGGGGCGTCGGTCTTTATTGGTATCGGTCAAATTTGTTTTTTTGCTAGTTGAGCAAATATTGGTTATATGTCTTCTTTGTACGTGTTGGTCAATGACCAAAAGTGAAGATCCTCGACGGAAGTCGGCAATGGGCGAATGATCCTAGCAGTCGAGCCCAACATTTTTTTGGGAAACGCATACTTGAACTTGAACTTGAAGAAGTATTCTGTGCTATTCTGTGGTGGAGCATTGCACGCGGCGGTTTAACCTCCGTTCGCTCCCGACAGAATCCCTTGTATTCGTCCTCAAAAGTTTGATATCGGTTTCCACTGTGTGGACTTAGTGTTTTTAGTGTTCAGTGCATGTTTTAAAGTGATAATCGTCGTCGGCCCCGTCGTTTTTCCTCGTTCACGCCGGTATGGAGGCCGGATGTTCCGCGGCGGAAGCGGGGAGAAGCCGATTTTTTTGGTATCGGTCAGAATCGTTTTTTGCTAGTTGAGCAAATATTGGTTATATGTCTTCTTTGTACGTGTTGGTCCATGACCAAAAGCGAAGATCCTCGACGGAAGTCGGCAATGGGCGAATGATCCTGGTAGTCGTGCCCAACAGCTATCTGTGAAACGCATCATTGAATTGAATTGAATTGTATTCTGTGCTTGAAAATGTCAATTCAGGAAACGATACCAAGTCTTCATTTTGTTGTTAAGTTAGGTGTTTGTTTTATTGTAGTCGTCTAAAATGGGTGACTTTACCAATCAAGACTATTATTGGAACAACCAAGGCGAAACCCCTGTCCAACAGCAGAGTTTCTACGAGCAAGACTACAATCAGTTTACCAATCAGCAGCTTGGTAAGGCAAAATATTGAAATAATGCTTGGAAACTAACTTTCTTTTGTCTGTTGTAGAGTTTAATTCGCAAGAGTACACTAATCAGACATTCACACAGTACCCCTCGTCTTTCTACAATCCCAATGACTATGAATTACCCAAAGAAACCGATGATGAGCTCGAAGAACCAACATTGCTAGAAGAGCTTGAAATTTATCCAGATCGTATTCTAGAGAAGGTTTTAGCCGTTTTAAATCCGCTTAGGGGTCATAGTTTAGCCGATGATGTGGAGTATTTAACAAAAGACTCTGACTTGGCAGGTCCCATATTTTTCGGGTTGGCTCTAGCTTTGTTGCTTTTGCTAGCTGGGAAACAGAGTTTTAGTCATATCTATGGTTTTTCTATGATATCATGCATTTTCATGTACTTTTTACTGTCTCTAATGACCACTGCCGAAGGAGTATTTACATTTACCACCGTGGCCTCTATCTTGGGCTATTGTCTGATCCCGATCGTCATTTTGTCTTTGTTCGGAGTGTTTTTGATACTTTCTGGACCTATCGGAATTATTTTTGCGTCCATAACTATTATTTGGTCTAGTTTTTCTGCATCAAGATTATTTATAGCTGTGTCCGGGGACAAGCAGCAACAGCCGGTGATAATGTACCCATCGGCAATGGTTTATAGTGTTTTTGTATTGTTGGTTCTTTTTTGAAGCTGGGATGTAAGTGTAAATAAAAAGTAATTTGCATTCTTATAAGATCAATTATTTTATTTGTTTACTTATAATCCTGTAGTGCTTAAGAAATAAACAATATATTTGTATGATACTGAAGCTTTGTTCAACAGTTTAAATAAAATGGATGAACCTATGTGGCGACGGCATTGTTAGATCTTCTATATTAGGCAGTTTAAAACTGGTTTTTGCAATGCTAGAGTATATGACATGTCAAGCAAATTTTTCATTTCTGTCAAACTGAATTATTTACTTACTTTGACCGATACCAAAAAAAACTGCTTATTTGGCGTCCAACAGGCATGAAAGGCAGGAACAGCAGGACCGGCGACACTTACACCTTCTAGTGAGAAAAAAAAATGAAAAAAACAAAAAAAGTCCCTTAAAAGTGCAAATATAACTATTTGAGATACTAAATATCGCAAAGAAAAAATCTAAGTGCAAAGCAAATATGTAACATCCTATAGACAGAACGCTCATTCCTTCGTCGCATACATCGCAAGAAACGACGCCAAAAAACTATCTCAATATGTAACCTAAATTAGCTCTAAATATGAGAGAATTGTACAGAAATTAGTTTCAGAGAATAAATTGATACAATTAGTATCTGTTGGATTGTATACAGCACTTGAAATAAACATCCTCATTTATATCGTTTCTGGTATGGTTTAGTTAGATCTTCAAGCCATTATACCTATGTATGTGTAGTAAAAACATTTTTGCATAACACGCAACACTAAAAAGTATTGTTTAATATATCAAAATTTAAAAAACAACTTTTAAAAACAAAATTGCACCAAAATAATCAAGCCCTTTTGTTATGAATCTCCAGCTGAGCGCAAATGGTATTTTTCCCTCTTTTCTCTCTTTACATTGTTAGACCACTTATCTGTGGTTCGATCCGAATATGTGACCTTGGGTTCAGCTGACATTGACAAGTATTAAAAAACAATTGATCGAAATTCTAAATATAGGTAATAGCAGGAGCTACACGAATAGTTGAAATTAATTTGATAAGAAAAATTCGGCATATTAAACTGTTAAGTCCATTTTAACATCTTTCAGATAAAGCAACTGTTCTGATATGACTGATAGGGAAAGACAAAGAGTTTACTTTCTGTCTAGAAACTGTTGTGAGGGTTTTTCATAATGGACGTTTTAAACCTATTTAGAAATTTCGATGGCGATTTTGGCACTCTTTACAAATATACCTGGCTGGGAAATTTGTTAACTGGGTTGTTAACACAAGCTCAAGAAGGATACAAAGTAATATATATACATTTTGGGTTTTGGTCTTTTGTCTACAAGTTCTCTTTGTTTCAGATTTTTTATCTAGTCTTAATTGGAATAGTTGTGATAATAATTACAGTGACTGTTATATGTCTAAGAAGATGCCACCAAAAAGGTATGTTCGAGTTCCAGCAATTATAGCTAAGTTATGATAATATCGCAATTTTAGTGTTCTCATCGAAGCAGGCGTGGAATCACGAAGTTGGGCGATTCAGAAAGCGAGACAAAGCTTTATTTTACGGCAGGAAAATGATGCGGAAGGTCAAGAACATCTCCGGCCAAGTTCGGAATTCTGGACAAGGAAAAAAGCGGAAAATGGTTATGAAATTTGCACGGAGGTTACTCCAGATAAAGAAAGATGAACAGGAACAACTTAAGGTATGTTGGCGCTCTGTGATATTTCCTCTGACATTTTATCGAAATCTTCAGGTCTTGGAACCTCCTGTTGAGTATTTACAAGAAGATACTTTAAATGATGATCGCATGCCTCCAGATGTTTTGTACATGTTGCAAAGTATTAGGGTGTTTGGGCATTTTGAAAAGCCAGTGTTCCTCAAATTGTGCAAGCACACCGAAATAATAAATGTTAATGCCGGTAGTTACTTATTCAAAATTGGTGAGTTTAAACTTGTGTCCTTTTGAATCTTATAAAATTTTAACAAATTTTAGGTGATCCCGATGAAAATTTTTATATCCTTCAAAGTGGAAGGCTCAACGTTTTCATTACAGGCCCTGAGGGCACCACCTCCTTAAAATTGGTGAAACCTGGCGAAACAGTGACATCGTTGCTAAGTTTTACTGACGTTTTGACTGTAAGCTTATTATTAATTTGGATAATTTTGGACCAGTTAACATACCATTTTAAAAAAAATAATTTATTTGATCATTTATTGCACATATTTTTATTTCTAAAAAATCAAAAAGCCAAGATATCTAATAAATTTAAGTTCATTATCAAAGATTATACCCAGTTTTTATATTCTTCAACTGCTGGAATTCTAATAGAATTTATAAATGTTATTAGGGAGATTAATTGTCCCTTAACTAGCTAGCTGGCAGATAATAAAGTATTATGATCAAATTGGAAAATCTGGTATTGAGAAATGTGACGGGTTGTAAAAAAACTCACTGATTTGCAAGGATAACTAGATTTATCAAAAAATATATTTGACTCTGAGTACAAAAAAAGAAATTAAAAAATCTAATGCCCCTAAGGAAACTGTCCACTTTGTCCAGTAAGCAAAGCTACACTATTCCACTTCTAATAATATTACTTTTTAATCAACTGTGAATCTATGAAGCTGATACAAGACTTCCTTGGTACACTCTCCAACTTCTCATTTATTTAACTCCCAACTGGCTAGAAATATTACTTTTTAACAATCGACCTTATAGCTATGCAGCTGATACAAGTCTTCCTTGGTACACTATCCCATCTGTGAATTATTAGGGAGGTTTAAAATAAAAACTCCCAACGGCCTGAGAATATTCTTAAAAATAACTGTGCAGCTACGCAACTGATACAAGACTGCTTTATTTATTTATTTATTAACATTTTTTTCTTAATCACTCTAAATATCTTTTTCGAGAGAAGATGATTGATAAATAATTTTAATTAGCTATCATAATTTGACAGCTACTAAGACACTCAAATTGACTTCTATGGTAGGAGTGAGGAGGATACTCCCACTATTATAAATGATTTATTTGAATCTTGTACAAAAGTTATATACAAAATTATATTCAGATCAATCGGTATGATGGAGAAGTTTTAGTATTACTCTGAGTATTAATGCAAAAGTTAAAGAATTCAAAATAAAATTTAAAAAGAGGTTTTTCATCACTGTTTTGAGAGCTACCCTGAATAGTTTTAAATCATTTTAAATTGCGTATCCTAACAATCTGTGCAACGTTTCTATTTATCATTTTCTCATAACATTTAGAACCAATGAGATAATGAACTTTACTCCAGTTTTGACTAACTCTGTACAGGATGTTTGTATTTCTGTGGACAATGAACAATTTTATTATTTCATTCGATTCTTCGGCTTGAAGCCTTTGTTACATATTTGGAGTTGATTTACTTAGGGAATTGCTACTTTAGCGATCTAACTACAAAAAAAAACTAAATATTTTTAACGAGAATTCATTGAAAGTCATTCTATAATGATTTTTGGCATTTCCGCAGTGACTTTGAGGATTGCACATGCAAAGTATAATTTTAAAGGTTTTTTTTTTTGCGCTAATCATTTCCTAATGCGACAAACGCAAAAAATAACCCTTAATAAAAGTGTCGGCCCCATTCCCAGGGTCATCCCAATCCCTACAAAACGATATCGGCGAAAGCGATCGAAGATTCGACTGTCGTCAAGCTTCCGATGGCGGCTTTCCAGGACATATTCAACGACTATCCCGAACTCTTGATCCGAATCATGCAGGTCATCATGGTCAGACTTCAAAGAGTCACCTTCACCGCCCTACACCAGTACTTGGGTCTGAGCGCCGAGCTAGTGCGCCAGGTACTGCGGGCAACGATTTTGTAGAGTTTATTAACAGTGAGGTCTGTTTGAAGAGTTCCAAACAAAAGAACGCGACGGTTTCGTCGCCGATGAAGAGAAAACGCGACGAGCAGACGACGAGGGAGTCTGCTTTGCCATATGCTCCAAAAGATACGGTTCAGCCTTATCCGGTGAAAGAATCGGCACTGCCGTACACTCCAAAAGATTCTGGTCCTTGGTTCGAGGCGACTCAACCGACGGCGATACCACCGGGGCACAGGCGCACTAAGTCCTCGTTTGATCCCAAGTCCATGTCACCTGGAAGTTGGCCGGATATGGTGGCTGATGTCGAAGGGGGACCGAGTAACGTAAATACCATGGTTTGTTTGTTTTTTTTGTAGTTCTCGGTGGAATGAGAAAATAGCATGTTATAATAATAAGTGCTAATTAAGGCGGGCATAATTAAGTAAAAAAAAAAAACGGAGTATATCACACCCACATAAGAGGATAAAGAGGAAAAAAACAAGAGGAACTGAAAAATAATTTTGAACTTTAGTTATAACAATACATAACACAAAGCATACAATCGTAATGAGTCTGGGAGGTACTTAAGTGAGAATGTCTGAAAAATAAGTTTTGATTTCTGGAAATTAACCTGTGGGTTTTTGACTAATGTGCATTTAAAAAATTCAAGGTATGTTTTTTTGTTTCTCTTTTATACTTAAAGCTGAGAAGGTGCGTGGAGCAATAAAAAACAAATATTTAAAAATAAAAAGTTTGGTAATATTAATAAAAGACCACTTAACTTAAGTCAAAAATTCGAACTTTTATTATTATTATTATTTTTAAATCAAAATGACAAATTCACTTTGCAGATCGAAGACCGCCACAGTATAGTCAGTCTAGCCAATCCGAACTGTAATTTTTCTTAGTAAGAAACACTAAAAAACAAGATTTAATAAAAAATAGTTCAAATGTCTAACCACAACGAGCCCAGTAAGACAGTAAATTAAAAAAAAATACTGGTAGGGAAGTCAATGTTGACAAAAAAAAATGCTAAAATTTTCTTGTCAGCCAGTTTTTTTCCATATTCCCTCTTGTAAATGACACCCGTATATGATTACAGAGAGTATACACTAATTGAATAGTCTAGTTTTTATGTATTTTGTTAGTTTGTATGTCTTTATTTTTTTCGTCTGATTTTTTAATTTAATTTTATGGTTCGTCATCCCCCCCCCCCCCAATATTTTGTATATTTGCTTGTGCTACTGTAATTAATTATTTTATCTTGTTGTTTGGTCAAGATTGTAGTACACTAGAATAATTAAGATTATGTCAAAGCGGTTTCTTAATATTGTAATGAAAATTACGAGTGAAAAATCGTGCAAAAACCCTTTAGGCGCCCGACGTGACCAAAAAGAGACACTCGGTACCCGAAGAGGTGGACGAATCGGAGCTGATACGCATAGCGACAGCGGCGTTCGTCAACGAGCTGGGGCTGATCAATGACAACGATGTCAACCTCAACATAGAAATTAGGGAGGTTTCGGCCGGTACTTACTTAATGAAAGAGGATTCGAACAAGGTGAGCGGCTCGCCTCTTATATGTTTCGAAAATTTTCATTGATTTTTTTACATTAACATTTATTCAATACTTAATAACTATGGGTTCTCTTTTATACAGAGAGCACATTTGCTTGGGTATTTTCATATGGTCCAAGCTCACCCTTTTTTAATTTGCATTGTGTCTTAGATCGACACTTTGTTCAATAGACGAGGACACATTAAAATGTTTAAAAACATTAACATTAAAAAACAGACTATGCTGTTTTTTAATGTTATAAATCATTATTGAACTCTAAAACTTTGTGGTTTTGCATTGTTCTATAGGCGTAGGATTGCATAGTGGGACACACAATAAATGGTCATGGTCAACGGGTTTTTATGCGCTCGTAGTCATTTTGGGGCTAATAATATAAATTGAAACCCAAAATATATTAACACATTATGTTGTCTTGCGCGTTGTATAATTGAAATTATATAAAAAACAAATACATATTAAATAAAATGAGTTATCAGAATAGTTTGAATCTGTGTTATCAGTTGCATGCAAAGATAAGTAATGGTTTTCCGTTGAGGGGTGAGAATATTATAATTTTAAGTACACCAAAATGCATTGTATGTCCTAATGTTCCCAAAATTATCCTATAATGAATGCCTTCTAGCCCCTATAACACCCTTCAATGATCCCACACTGCCTTATTTTGCCTTACAATTACCATTCAACACGTTTCCCATACAATACCTAATAATTTCTAACAATTCCTCGCAATGTCACCTAATTCTTTTTTAGGTCATATACCCATCAGTTTTTTTTTTTAGTTTTAAAAGTCAACAAAATGGAAAAATGCATAAATAAACTAAACTAAAAGTCATTCATTTGATTTTTTGCTTAATACACCTTTTTTTCAAAGCCATTAGGTTTATAACATACTAAACTGAAACCCTTTATAGGACGGCAATGGCAAATTTATAATCTTTAAATTTGGTAACCTGTCTTTTTCCATAAAAATGGAAAATAATGATGATATTCGTCAAAAAGTGAAAATATATACCTTTGGAGTGGTTTTTGGGAACTAGCACCTTTGTAGAGGCGAGGACTTTTAGTATGTTAAATAGTACCTCCAAACCTACTACTACACCAATTTTCAGCTTTCAGGGAACTTGTTCAGGGTTCACCATGTAAAACAATTTATAGGAGTGCTTGCAGTAGCGTCGCTGTCACGTTACTTTCGTTCACCAAATTTATGACAATTCATATAAAAATTAGTATGCCCCTAATTTAGGAAGCATCGGAGGTTATGATCTTTAAGTTGCCTACCCTGTTTAATGATCCTTATCATTGCGAATGCACATTTTATTACTCTCTCGCATTAAGAAACATAGGACAGCCCTTTGGAGCTTTTTTCAATATGGCGATACTACAGCTAAAGGCGTTATTTGCGCACATTAAATCAAGCAATATTTTCGAAACTAATAATAATAAATAATATCCTACAATTCAAGGATGTCGCTCTGGTGTATGTCATTTCGGGCACCCTCAGTCTATCCCAGAGGCTCACCGACGGGACCGACGAAGTGCATATGTTCAACGCCTATCCGGGAGAGATCGTGGGCGGACTGGCGGTACTGACCGGAGAGCCGAGCTTCTTCACCATACGAGCGAAACACTACGCCCGGATTGGTGTACTTTCAAAGAATACTTTTTATAAGTGAGTCCCACAGAATTCTATCTCAAATGTTTTGACGATCAGAAAATATAACCTAAAACAAAAAAACAAAATTATCCAACGAACCAGCAACAACAACAATGTTTAATATTGACGTTTTGCCAAATATGCTTCTTCAGAGCGCTGTCTGAAACTGATTTGATGATTGCTCTGTACTCACCTTAAGCAGCACGGGAGGGTCGAATGGTGGGAGGGCTTTAATTGCTTGAAGGCAGGTACGATTTGTGAAGGCATAGTCGGTAGCAATAAACTGCCAGACAGAATAAAATAAATTTAAAAAAATAATACAATAGATTGTTCGTTTTGCTTCCATTTATACTTTAACAGATGTTCCTCCCTAAATGTTTATCTGATCAATGCATCGGTCACTAACGATCACGATTATATTTAATTTAACTGGCAGGCCCATACTCAGAGATGGATTATATTTTTTATATAATAATAGTCAGGGTGTTCCTTAATGAAATACGAATATTTAATAATCTACATAAAATGAATGATTATGATAATTTGTTAAATAAACTATTGTCCAAAAACTCTGTCTATGCAATAAAATAAAAAAAAAACGGAAAATTCAAAAAATATATCATACCGTATCATATTTGATTTGTATTTGCGACGGAACATTTTCATCATCAGAGCGAAAATTGGAACTGGATTTTTTTTAAATATCTCGAACAGTGTATGTGTATAGACGAAAACCATAAATACAAAAATTGGAGCTATTGGTGCTGCCTACAATACCATCTAAACCTGTTATCCATTTTTTTTAGGAATTTTGATTTACGGCTAATAATTTACTCTGAGAAAGAAGAATTTTCAGGATCTTTGAAATTTTTGTCTATAATTGAAAACCTCCGTATATACTCGAAAAAATGCTCGAAATAGAGGTTATAGTCCCGGATCTCTCGCGTATCTGGGTTCAAAAATTTTGCTGATCGGCTAAATAGTTTTCGAGAAAAAAATACTTCGTGACTTTTGATTGCCCTCAAGTTCTAAAGTTTAAATGTGGGTATGGACTTGTACATCCCAGCCTTATCTGAAGTCGTCAGGTGCAAAGCTAAGTATATAATATATGAAAAAGTCAAATTACAAAAATGTTAGCTTTCTATATTCTCGGTATGGCTAAGTAATACAAACTGAATTGTAACATAATTCTCCAGTTACATCCAGTTTTCGGCAAAAGAAAAACCCAGTTTTTAATTTTTTGCAAATTGGACAGCACCTTTAAAAAAATATATATTCTTAATGATTTTCAGATTTGGGTCTTGCGCATCTTCCCATTCTAGAATTTTTTTTTATGCCTGTAACCGTTTTTGAGAAAAAAAATTCTTGGACCGTCGAAAAGGCGGTTTTTAATTAAAATTAAATTTAAATAGTAATTAAAAAGATGGACGCCGGGATTTGATCTTGACTATATTTTATTGGCGAATGTGTCTCGTAGGATTTTTCAAAGGAGCCAATTTTGAATGCTTTAGTTGAAACTGTTTGGAGGTTATACTAATTTTTATGTTGCGTCGACAGAGAACGGACAGACAAAATGACAAAGATATGAGTTTCGTTGCTAAGCGCGTATGCTTTCGAAAAATTCGATTTTATAGATTTTTCGAAATCAAAAAGTTGTGACACCGTCATATTAAGGCATTATCTTTTTCCCAGTATTCTTTTATTATATTTTTTGCATGTGCTATTTAACTGATCCAATTTTCTTTGCTCTCTGGTGAGCAGATCTTTAACAAATAATATTTTAAAGATATTCGACAAGCATGCACATTATTCAACTCCATGGTTCTCCGAAAATATTAAAAAAATAATGAACAAACGAACTCTATAAACCTCCACCCTTAGTGGCGGAGTGGACTTCCTACAACACTGTATGAAATGCTGTGGTAGCTGTAATTAAAAGTAAAAAGAGGTGTTACCTACATTCAGGAGAGACACAACGTTAGTTGGTGTGTCCGCGCTTATAAGTTCCGTGTAACACGACTATTTGCTCCTGTAGTGGAAGCTATCAACTAGTGATTTAAGACCAACATCTCTGAGTACGACACTCGCCAAGGTACTGGAAAGGGAAATTATATCCAATTTGCAGTCAGGGTTTCGTAAAAACCACAGTACTGCTTCAACCCTTGCTAAAATTGCCAGTGAAATTATATATGCACTTGACAATGAACTGTCAGTGGCTTTAGTATTCTTGGATTTCTCCAAGGCGATACCAGGTAATTCTTTGTGCCAGGTTTGGTTACTACTGACCTTCATGTAGTATCATTTCTCCAATCATACCTTTTCAACCGCACTCAGAAATTAGTGTTGGACGAGTAGTCAGTCTGAAAGTAGTGTGTAGGATAACAGCAGCCGTGTTTCAGGAGTCGGTCTTGGGAACGACTCTCTTTCTGTATTACACAGCAGATCTGTTCAGAGCGGGTGTGACCAGTTTGAGTCAAACATTTGCAAAAGGCAATCGGTTATTTCACTCGTTTGACATGGGGGACAAGAACAGGCTTGTTTAAAAATAAATACTGATTTGGGAATAATTTCTACCGAAGCCTCTCAAAATAATTAAAAATTAAATTCATTTAAATAAATTAATAATAATAATAATTAACATTAGTAGCACCAAATTCATGGTGATTAGTAAAGAAAAATGTGTGAGGTACTACTTTATGATTAACAACACACATACAGAAAGGGTTTCACAGTTGTCCATAATAAATGAGGACTGAAATCACTCACAGGAAATTAATATTAGATTAGAGAAAGCAAGGGCCACCTCAAATCAAATATCAAATACTTTTCTATGGAATGGAGTCATGGACATTAATGGATGCAACGGAAAAAAAACTTCGAAATGTGGCTTTATAGAAGTATATTAAGGATTTCATGGGTAGACAGAGTAAGCAACAAAAAAGTTCTGGAACGAATGCAAAATCATTTAGAAATAAGAAAAGAACACTGGATATATTATGAACAAGGAAAGTAAATACGGCCTTTTAAAATCTGTTCTCCAAGGGAAAGGCTATGGTGAAAGAGGAAGAATACCATTGCCCAGAAACTTAAGAGCATGGTTCTCAAAAACATCAACTCATAAGTGTATAGTAATGGGATTGACTCAAAAAAATAGAATTGCGTTCTAAAATAATATCCTGACCTATTTATGAAGATGCTTCAGAATGACTTACGCTTCAAAATCCAAATTTTATTATTTAATTATGTCCTTGTATTGATGTCTGTGCTAAGAATCAGCTACAAAAACTTCAGAATATTGTAGGTTGATTTTCATTCTTCGAAAATATATGTGTATGTATTTGTGTATATTTGTGCTTAAATTACTTTTTATGTCATCACCCTACTGTCTCATACATCGCGATCTACGGAAATTTCAAAATACTCCGCGAATCTATCGAAATAATCTATGTGCTTTCCATTTGGGATTTGGTCATCCATCAAGCAATTAAAGCTTCCTCTACCATTCAATGTGCACCGTAGGAGAAATCGTGAGGATGTGTACCTAAGTTCCTCAGCCTGTCGAAGTTTCTTTAAAAAATTAAAGTAACAAAAATTATAACGGTGGTGTTTAAGTGTGAATAAAAATAGTTTATTTTAACGACTTTGTTTTTATTTTTTGCCAAAAGAACGAAAATTAGGATTTTGATAATAGTAGGCAGATATTATAAAAGATGCAACGTTATTTTGAGTTATTGTTTTTTACTTAATTGCGGTTGAACTCTTATTTAGCTGTGAAGTTCGTAGATAACTTGGATTGGTTGGAATCACTTTATCCAAACCCCACTCTATTACCAAAAGGGCGGGGACGGTTCACCATGAATACATATTTACTGAGCATTTTATGGGCGACATGTGGGGTATCGTTTTGTAATGTTTCAGCGTTATGAAGGAGAAGCCCAAGATTGTCCTCTATTTGGCCAATATGGTGGTGAAACGACTTTCCCCTTTCGTGAGACAGGTGGATTTCGCGCTAGATTGGTTATTCCTGGAATCCGGTAGGGCGGTGTATCGGCAAGACGACGAGAGCGATTCGACCTACATCGTGTTGTCCGGTCGTCTGAGGTCCGTCATCACCCACAAGAACGGCAAAAAGGAACTGGTAGGGGAGTATGGCAAAGGAGACTTGATCGGCGTGGTAAGTGGTCCATTTGGCTGCTTCAAATCACTTTTAATAGTTGAAATAAAAGGAATAGATTGGTATTTATTTATTTAAACAAATTCATAACAATTTTGGCATCATAAAAAAAGACCTTCAAACAAATACAACACAGAGACTATACAACAAAATATAGGATTTTTTCACCCACACCAGCTATGCACTCCTTTAGCAATGATTCATGCAGATAATCTGATAAAACTCCTTTTTATATACTCTTCTAAGTTTGGTTTCATTAGTAATACGTCTAATAGTATGTCAAGTGATTGTAAGCATTAGTTGCTGCTTCTGATGGTACCATTCAACTCATGATCGGAAACTCGTCCTTTATTATAACGGTGAACTTTAGCAGATGTTAAAAAGTTCTGTACATTTTGCAAAACATAATGAAATCGTAGTGCATATCTTTAGCTCACCAAAAAGATCTCTACAGGAAAAGTTGCTTCTTTTAGGTACCTCTTTTTTGGGCACTAATTACCTTCCCAATGAGGACACCCTAAGCGACGATACCATATGGTAGTGTGAATTTAACATGCCCATAATTAAAGGATAACATCACCTCTATATTTATAGAATTTCTCAATTTCTGGAAAAATAAATATTATATATTACAACATAACGCAAAGAAAAAAAAAATGAAATTTTAAATTAAATGTACAGTTATTGAATTTTATTTTGTTTAATTTGTTGTTTTGTTACATTTTCCGGTAAATTAACATGCCTTCTCACAGAATGCCAAATATAAGACCCGTATCTATAATTACACATTGAATTGAATTTTTTTTTTAATTTTTCGAAAAAGGTACTCAAATCTTCTGGCTATAATTAAACACAAATCTAGTGCAATGAATGTAAGACGGATCAAGTTTTAGGTAGCAAACAATTTTTACAAAAATGATCTACGGCGGGGTTTAAATGTCTCGTTCAGTGGACATCTCTAAGTGGGAAAAACAAATTACATTTTATTCTAATTTGAATCCGCTTCTTTTGTGTGAGCGTTAATTTTAACTCTGGATTGATAAACATTAAACATTGATTAGCATTCTGTGAGAAGACAATATTGATTTATGCGAAAATGTCGATGACTTACCAAAATAAAGTTCAAAAACAATATATTTAAAATAAAATTTAACATATGTTTTTTTTATTTTGCGTTAAGCTACAATTTGTTGTTTGTAAATTCAATATAAATGAACTTAAAGAAAACGAAATAAAGAAAGGTACCAAACAATTCATACAAAAAAGCATCGAGGTAGTTCAAATGTCCCGTTCATCGTACGCATCCAAGTTGAAAAAATAAATAGCATAACCAAATAGAGTTAAAAGATCCACTCTGAACTTAGCAAAGTAATGCATAATTTTAAATATAATTATAAAACTATACAAATCTAAAACTCGTACCTGTAAATTATACATTTAATTTTTTTTTGTGTAGCAAACAAATTAGGTATATAAAAAAGTATCAATCGAAGTAGTTCAAACGTCCCGTTCATCGAACATCTCCAAATGCGATTTTCTTCTAATCATTTTTGAAAGCACTCATTCCTTAGGTGGAAATGGTGACCCAAACCAAGAGGAGTACCACCGTCATCGCCGTCAGAGATTCGGAACTGGCCAAATTGCCCGAAGGTCTATTCAATGTGATCAAGTTACGATTTCCTATCGTCGTAACTAGACTCATTAACCTTCTGGGTCACAGGATATTAGGTCTGTTTCTATGAAAAATCACTTTTTTCATCACTTAATGACAAAACTTTATTTTAGGTTCTTGGAAAAAGCCGAGCATAGGTCCGACTGTGAGAAGTTCGGCCTTGGACAGTCGACCTTCTCAGATTAATTTTTCGACGGTGGCTATCGTAGCCGCTTCGGATGACGTGCCCTTGACCGCTTTTAGTTACGAGTTATATCACTGTCTCTCCGCTATCGGTAAGTGTTGAGAATTTCAGCAACATTAACATGAGTTTAATATCCAGCACATCCATCATGCAAATAATGTCCTGACCTGAACCTGATTCTTTCTCTCTGAATTTCCAGCAAAAAGAAACTAACTCAGTGTACTTTAAATGAAATGCAGTTGAGTTAATGGCGGGAGGCGCTTGTGTTTTAAAACATGGAAGCTGCAAATTGCTTAGCATGAAAATCGACGGATGTTCTGTCCTGAGTTTTCAAATGCAACTTTTTTTTCTGTTTTACCCTGAATTTGCCCTAGATAAATGTTTGAAGAGTGATTTTTTTATAGATCCCAGACGTAGAGTCAATGAGTGCAACTTATTTTTTAGAGACGGCCATACAAAGTTAACGTTTCGCTGTCTATGGCGTCGAGAATGGTCTCTTTTTCTCCAACCATTTCTCGAATTCTTTTATTTCCATTGCTTTTCAGCGCCATTGTCTTGCTTTTGTTTTCACAATGTTTCAGACAGAGGTATCATTCCTGATTCCTGAATTTTGGGTTTCACCCCGTATTGTGCGTTTACTATGTTCTTCAATTCTTATTGCTTAAAGAAACAAAAAGTTCTCCACATTCACAGGGTGAATATTTTAAAAAACGTAAGATTATGTCCTTCAGGCTTTGACCTGAAAAGTTTATGCAGCAACGTGCCCTTGGAAGAATCGTTAAGCATTGTCAAGGCCAGATTGAAGAATGATACACTTCCATAGAGAATTTCGCTACCAACTTTTAAGTCAAAGATAAGTTTTACACGCAAGATGATGGGCTCCCCTCTCTCTCCGGTGGTAGCAAATATGTATATGGAATGGTTCACGTTATAGATGCGGAAATTGTTAGTCCTAGGGCCTGGCTTTGATATGTTGATGATTCCTTCATTATCTGGAGTGGAACCGATAGACAGTTAAATTCCTTTCTCAATCATCTTAATTCTCAGCGACCGCTGAGGAAACCTACACATACCAGACAGTACTTAAATTTCGAGTCGAACATACAACACTTTGCAAAAGAGCAATCGCAACAATCAATGAGGCTAGAAATATTAACTCAGGAGAAAGATTGTATTTACCAAATAATCTGTGAATATGGAGAGTCATATTTTGGAGAATCAAAAAGATTTTTAAACGTCAGAGTTCAAGAAAATAAGAAACACACAATGAGTGGTGAAATCCAAAAGTCAGGAATTGCGGAACCTGTATTCTAGACGATGTAACCCGAGGTCTCCCTGTAGATTTCTAGTTTCTAGTGCAACCTAGTCCATTTATATTTATCTTATATACAGGATAATTCACAGTACTGGGCTATTAAAAGTTTTGGAGTTTTGGATAGGTAACTTATTCAAACTTGGTACATGCCCAAACAGGTGGTAAACTAGGGCAGCGTTGCCGGGTCTACCGGAAACTAGTGGCAATATTGGAATTTCAAATGAAACATATTAGTACATTTTTGAATTCTGTTTGGCAACTGTTTCTCAGATATTGACAGTTTGAAATTGAAATTTGACAGGCCATCAAATTAAATTAGAGCAAAACGATTTGCACATCCTTATCTTAGTTATTCATAAGCTATATTTGACAGTTCAAAATCCTAAAATGTATACAGAGTGCTCTATTTAGACATTGGAACACGTTCCCTTTTTTTTCAAGTTTTGCTGTTGAAAACAGCTATCACTGTTTCTATATTTTAAACTTGCCTCACTTAAAATGTTCTTCACTCTCGCGGTAGTTCAAATGTCCGAATCTGTCTCTCAGGTCCCACCCTAAGGCTGACCTCAGACGTTGTCAAAAAAACCTTAGGGGCCACCATAATAGACCCCAATAACGAGTACAGGTTGTCATCTTGGCTCGCCCAGCAGGAAGACCAACACAAAATTTCGCTGTATCAATGCGACTTGACCGTTTCTGCTTGGACCCAGCGATGCATCAGGCAAGCCGACTGCATACTGATCGTCGGTTTGGGCGACAATTTGCCGTCTCTTGGCAAGTGCCGACGTAATTTCCGCTCGCACGGTTTAACGGGTCCCTTTTCCAGGCAAAGTCGAAAAAGAACTGGAACGGTTGGCGATCCGAACCCAGAAAGAGCTGGTTCTGCTGCACAAGGAGGGCGGTTTTCCCCACAATACCATCGGGTGGTTGAACATTAGGTCCTGGGTGTCGTCCCATCACCACATAATGTGCCCCAACCGGTTGTTTTCCAGGAAAAGTTTATACAGAATTGTAGGTTTACCAAAACCTTTTCTGGATTAATAACCGTTAACTGTGACATTTGCAGAACGAGTTGTATTCGAAAATTTGCTCGACGGATCCGAATATCCATTCGGATTTCTCGCGTCTGGCCAGGTGGTTGACCGGCAAGTCCGTCGGTCTGGTGATGGGCGGGGGCGGGGCTCGAGGCTCCGCCCACATCGGTATGATCAAGGCCATAGAGGTGAGTCGCTTGGTTTCTCATAGCCACCTAAAGTTTTTATTAGATTATAATACATTTTCATACTGTATAAGATGAGAAGTTTTTTTATGATTTTTATTGACAGATACACTACTTTTGATAGCCGTATCCTAAAATGCTATAATATAGAATAGAAGATATCCAAATAATGTGGACATGGTGGTTCATAAATATGTGGAAAATCACACCAAACCACAACGTTATGAAATAGAACACTCTGTATATTATTGCGTTAGTGGATAGTCCGTTTTATTTTCAATCGCCCAATGTGGGGTTGTTATGGGCTATACCGAGTGTTTTCGGATTTCTGGCCATTTTTTCATAAAACATTCCCTGTGTTTAACATTCTACATGTTTGACGCCGTTTCTGAGAGCTGTAGTTTTATTATGTCAACAATTTAATAACATGTACAGTCATTTGCCCTATACTTGTCTTGAAGTTAGTGGGAATTGTTTATAAGGGGTGACTCAAAATAAAAAGTATTAATAGATTATACTTCCATTAATCACCATATTCTTACGTTTACGTTTTGTATTAACATGCTATTATATGGAACAATTATACTTAACACCCTGTATAAAAGATTCGAACTAATTTCAAGACAAGTTTACAATAAATGACTGTACATAAAATGTCGGGCCTTTTGTCGGAAATGGTATCAAAAATATGCTACACACAGGTCAATTTTGATGAAAAATATAACATAAATTCAGCATGGACCATAGAAACCCTACATTGGATGATTGAATATAAAATAGAATATTTAATAATGGAATAATATACAGGGTGTTCCATTTAAATATATATAGAAGTTTGCTTTTCCACATATTGGTAAACCATCCTGTATATTTCAAAATAATTTTAAATTTTTTCTTATAGCCTCTCAAAATCACTCAACTTTTATATTTAACGTTTTTCTTTAAAAAGAGATATTACTCACTATTTGGAAACCCTATATATACGTTGGTGATTTTTTTATCACTTTTGCGATAATTTTAATTGTTGGCAGTAAGAAATTTGTTCAATAATAATATCATTGTTATTATTGTTAGAAAGTATAACTATATTTTCACATTAAGCACAATCATATTTTTAGTCAGCTTTTTCTAATAACACATAAGGTTTTGTCTCCATCTAATATCTAGTATTTAGTTGTGTATCCATTGGCTTCAAGAGGTTACTAAAGACATAAGCACAGCAAAGTTCCTTAATAAGTTTAAAAAAATAAGGGCCCTAAGTAAGATCCCTGGGGTACTCCGGACATAGTTTGAAAAGCTAATGCTAAAATGCATTTTATTCGGTATTTGGAAGGAAGACTTATTTTTGTGATCGACAAAATTCCAAAATTTCTTAGGATGTTGTGTTATTTCCTGTTCCATATGCGAGATAAAATTATTTTGGTCATTCTTTATCCAGTTTTTAACGGACATCTAAGATACTAAAATTCGTTATAGCACCTGTCATTTTTATTTTTTTATTTTAAGCAAACTTACATATATTATGATTTATATGAAAGTGACTTTGATATGTACCCATAAGTTAACATTTTAAAAATCTTGTATGTGGACTACATAGCACGGCATCTATATAGAGTAAATAACCATATATACATTTTTTGCAAATAGCGATTAAATCTCTTCCAGTGAAAAAATATTTTTAATTTTCATAAAATGTTGAAATGTGGAAACTGCCGTTTTGTCAGGCTATGCTCGACATGATAGTGGCCAAATTTTTCATTCATTATATTGTGTATAACATTAATCGTCGATTTAGGAGGCGGGTATTCCGATCGACATGGTGGGTGGCGTTTCCATCGGCGCCCTGATGGGGGCGCTGTGGTGCCAGGAGCGCAACATAACGACAGTGACGCAGAAAGCGCGCGAATGGGCCAAGGTAGGTTCGAAACGTCCCACATATCGTAAATTGGGCTGTGATAATTGCTGTATTTCAGCTCCTACTCAAATGTTTATAAATATTTGATACTATTAAGTAAACGCTACTAAGTGTTAGACATAAATATGATTTTCTTTTTAAATATCTACAAAAAGAAAAAAGAACACTTACTCGTAAGAATCATACAACTAACTAAAAAAATATGTTTTCTATGTTATGCCTACCTTGCCCGCACCAGGTAGCAGGCATCTTGTTTTGAATTATGGTCGCTAAAAACATATTTTCTTATGGTGCGAAATTAACGCTGTAGAAACAAAATATTATTATGAGAAATGCAATGGATCTATTTCCCCCCTATTGTCTCCTTCCATATTTTTCGATGTTTCGCGTGGTGAAACAGTACGCTGTAACTTGTTTGATTTGATCCTTAACATCTCATAGGAAATCGGCATGTACTTCTCTTTCCCCGTACTCCCATCACTATATTGCCATCTCGTCGTCTAGCTACGTGTCCAAAATATTGCCAGACTCTCTGCATCAATAATGATGTTGTTCTGGTGGTTACATTGAACTCTTTCAGTATCAACTGATTAGTTCTTACTCTATTATTTTTTTATTTTTCCATGTTTGTAAAATACTTTGAAATGTAATGAGCAAAAAGTAGTGCCAGAAAATCACGTAAAGTCTTATTACTGTCTCCATTCGGATCGGAAGTCCCTCAAAAAGGTTGGAATGAAAACATACTCAAAGTCAGTGCCTCTGGCAGGTCAGTTCGCTGCAGTAATGTTAACTTACTATTTTAGTAGTAACTAGTAACTATTTTGACCGTCGTGCGTGTGGTTCAATAATCTCTAATGTACCGAAGAGTGATTTATAGCCACCAATTGATATATGCCTCCCCAGACCAAAGCGAAGCCTCCACCAACACTCACTCTCCTTCTGAATAAAATTGCACTGGTAGTGACTTTCTCTAGGTCATCTATACACAGGCATACCTCCATCTGAGGCATAAAAACTGAATCTGGACTTTCTGCAAAGACATTTGACCATTCTTCTAGCCTCCAACTTAAATGGCACAATAACGCCGTCTTAGAGCTGTAAGACGTAAAAAAAACGATCATCAGCACGGGATGTAATATGGTGGTGACTTTGTCCTTCCCTTCTAGTGTATTGTCTGTCCTATTTCTCAATACCGATTTACAACTCTAGAGGTGTTGGTTTGCTTGACATTCAACAAGCACATTGGGCTTCGGCCCTCCTCAACAACTGCGCTGATGACTGTATTCTGCAGTTAAATGATGAGGTAGACAATTTGGAACTTCCATAACTTTCATTTTTTAAACTAATGACTGCTTTGAAATGTGTTCTTTAATATTACAGCATAAAAGAATTGTTTTGAAACGTAGTTTTTTTTGCAATTATTGATGCTTAAACAAATAAAATTATTATTGGGTGTGTCGGCAGAAAATGACGCAGTGGTGGCGCCAAATTCTCGACCTTACCTATCCGATGACGTCGATGTTCAGCGGACGCGACTTCAATCAAACCATCAAAGCGACTCTGGGCGACACCTACATCGAGGACCTGTGGCTGCCGTATTTTACCGTCACCACCGATATATCGTCGTCGTGTATGAGAATACACACCCATGGTGAGTGTTTTGCGTGCGCGTTCGTTTTGATCGTTTTTTTTTCGTTTTTAATTTGGGTTTGTGCTGTCAAATTGCCCCCCCCCCCCGTCATATTTAATATACCCTGATTAAATTCCCTTGATCTATTCTTATTACTTATAAAATCAAATACATTGCGATTGATAATAATAATATTAAAAATTTACTACGAAATATTTTTACTTAACAGAAAGCATTTCGATTTTGTTTCAAGAGCATTCACAAGTATATTAAGAAAAAACTTGTAATAATAATCGTAAATAAAGTTATTTCAATGGCTTTTATCGTAAGTGGAAGTGTTGCATTGAAAAAAATGGAGCTGTTAATTTTTTAAACATTTTTTATATTATTAATACAAGATAATAGAGAGAAAATCATACAACTTTTGAATAAATAATTTTCGCCTATCCCCTTTAATATATAAAAAAAATCTGTACACCTCCGTACGGGGGGTGTGGAAGTGGGTGCATATAATGCGGAGTTTAACTCCTTTGGCTTTTAGAACAGCTTAGTAATTGTCACTCCTAGGAAAATTTATTAGAACTAAAGAAAATTCTAAATAATTGAAAATGTTAACCCAGCTTAATTGTTGTTGATTACTATTTTTGTCTAATTTGACCAGATTATAAATGAGAGCCTGTAATTTTTGAACTTTCGTTGCGACAGCTTTTTTTGACCGGGAAATGGACCGGGCTTACGTATACAGAAGTGTGCCAAAGGCATATATCACTAATTTGAGAAATGTAATAAATGTGGCAGAAAGATAAATATTTAAAAAATATTTTCAATGGAATAAGGTTCGTCCAAGAAAATGACATATATAACAGTATAATATATAACAACAATATAATAAGCGCTTGAGTAATTCACACAGTTTTTTCTAAATTTTGTTTACTTGATATACTTTAAACTTTTTTTTTAATCAATGCGTTAAGGCATAGTTGTCGCTATATGAATTTTTGTTTGTTCTATAGTCATACTTTTTTTAAACACTCTATAGTAATTGAGAACGTTTTTGAAATGTTTGTCTCTTGATTTTACTCATTGAAATTATTTGTTCAAAATTGTGACAAATACTCAAGATATCTCGGTCAATGTGCAAAGGTGCTCTCCAAAGAGTATATTTTATTCATCTTCGTTCAAACGAACAGAATCTAAGCAATCAGTTTATAAAGTGTAAGCAAAAAAATGGCGCACATCATTTGGCTGTAATGTAAAGATATATACAAAAACTGTTTGTTCTTCATCAACAGAAAATAGTTAGTTTGCTATTAGTCGACACTAACGAAATCGAAACACAAAATATTTCAAAATATTTTGTTGCATTGCGTACTATATAATCAAGTAATTCTCTCTTTAGTCCATTTCCCTAAGAAGGGATTAGTTACTATGATGCTCTTGAAGCAGTGCTTATGGTATTGTGCCATTCCGTTCTATTCTGGGCCGTGATTATGGTTTGGTCTATCCATCTTTTGGGTGACCTTCCGCGCCTGCGTCTTCAAGTAATTCTTCTTCTTCCAATGCGTATCCATTAATGGATGTTTGCGATAACATTTTCCATTGCTTCTCTGTTTCTTGCGATATGTATCAACGTCTGTACATCATGCAGGCCAGTCTACTGTCTGATGTTTCGAGTAATTAAGTATTTCAAGTAATTAATATATATTAAATAAAATTAATCGTTAGAATAACTAGAATTTGTGCTATCACCATCATCCAATGATATAATTAATGGTTTTACGTTGCCCCAATTTTTTTTTATAACTATTTTGCAATTCAACTATATGATTAACGCATTCTCTCCGACTAGTGTAAAATTCAAAGCAACTTTCAAAATTCATTCATTTAACAAGCCGGTAGAGTCTTTTGACTTTTTGCACTGAAGTTTATATAATGTTTTTAAATTTATTTATTGTTTTCTATTACTAGGCACAAATTTGTTATTATCTTTATTGCATTGAGAACAGTTGATAATGATAAGTTTACTTTCTGTTTGGTACATAACTTATATTAATTAATATTCAATGTTAGTGTCATGTTCTCAGTCTTGGTGATTTTTTCTTGATCTGCATGTACAACTGTACATTTTTCAAGCCCCATTTCTCTAATGAACTCTGCAGCTGTTGTGGGTATTTAGGTTATACTTTGATATTGTCCATGTAGAATGCGCGGAATAATTTGGCTTCTTTATCAAGAGCGTCTTTTTTAGCATATTATGATTACTATTAATTAACAATTAATTATTAAACAATCGTGAAGAATATTTTCTGAATGAACCTTTTTTGACCGGTACTTTTTCACCCGATGTTGCTCTCTGTTTCTACTGTCCCACAATTTTTAAATCACCACAAATCGTCCTTGTCTTTGTATTAGATTTTCTCAAGCAGTAGTTTCCGATTTTCGTAACATTATTTTATTTGCATATAGTAGAGCAACAGGTGCAGAGGCAAGAATATTTCCGTGAGTCAATAAAAAGCCTCCAGTACTCAGAATTGTAGTCTGTACCAAGTTTATTTATTAGATTTATTATTTATTAGATTAGGAATGTCAATAGGTAAACCTAAGCCTTTCGCTAAGTTATTAAGTTCTGATTATGAAAACAACTGTGGTTTCTGGGAAACACTCGCATCTATCACCAACATTTCTGAGGGTGTCTGTCTATCTCAGCTGGTATCTTCTTTTAAATTGTCTGGATTCTCAGGTAATATCTTAAACCTTCTTCGCATACCTTACAAATAATATGTGATTACCAATTTAAAATTTAAAATAAGCGTAATATTGTTTTTCAAATAGGGGTGTAATTTGCGTCTAAATTTCTTGACCACAAAAGAACTACACACATTGCAAAACGTATCTATAATATTTTTACAAAGTATTGGCATTTTGAAAAGAAATTTAACTGCGCTATGCTGACTAACCTCACGAAACGACTGCCTACAACAAACGCAATTACACTATAAACGGGCTTCCTTAAACACATGCCGTCACGACCCGACGCGTAGTCAAAACATATATTTGGGAATCCCAAAAACTATATTTGACTTTCGCAGACTGCCCGCTAACATTCTGTTAATTTATGCAGAACGTATGCAAGTGGCGTAGCAATTGCAATATATAGAATGAAATGCGATGTTCCTATTTTTAGACAATAAATGTGACCAAACAAACTCTTGACTGGAACCTTCGGCACTGTACTAACACACAATAACGCGTTTTACCACAAACCGAAACTCAATTTTACGTACTCGACGCGCGTTTCGCCAACCAAGTTGGCATCTTCAGGAGAAGATTAAAACTAAACTTAATAACAAATGCTCTCTATATATATATTACACATCGGGAAGTGGGAGAGTGGATTACGCACTGTTCACGCAACCAATCAGCGCGTATAATGGGCTAAATGGGATTGGACCTCTGTCCTTGTTCCGTGCCTTATTCCCTCTCTTAACAATTTCTAAGCTCGTAGGCATCTAATTTTCTACTATTATTTACCTGTTTAACTAATTTTAAATTACTTATATCCACTTTATGATTATTTTGAATATATGTTCAGGTACACTTGATTTTTCTGATCTACCAACTTTTAAATGAGCTAAATGTTCCTTAAATCTAACATTAATTGATGTTTTGGTTTGCCCTACATATGACTTGTCACAATCGTTACAACATATTTCATAAATTCCCGACTTTTCAAGAGTATCTAGTTTATCCTTGGGATTACCCAAAAGATTTTTTAATTTTGACCCGGACTGATAGACACTTCGAAGACCTGCGGCCCTGAAGACTCTATCAAGTCCACTTGTATATTGGGGAGAGAAAGGAATTGAGACTACTTTTAAATTTTCCTTATCAGCTTGAAAAGTCGTCGTTGGAGTTTGTTCTTAAATCTAAATTTCCTAATTAACTTATCGATAAAATAATCTTCATAGCTATTGATTCTAGCCACCTTTTTTATAAGGCTTCTTTCCACCTCAAACCTTTCTTGATTTAAGGGAAATGTGACAAAACTTGCCATTTTATGTTGAAAGGCATGGTTAGAATCATTGGTTATGTATTTTAAAGTACTAGTGTCTTTCCTATAAATGTCAAAAACTAAATGATTTTCACTGTTTTTGATAGCGAGAATGTCCAAAAAAGGCAACTGCATGTCATTTTCTATTTCATACGTGAAATTAATAGATGGGAAGTAATTATTCAAATTTGAAACAAAGTCATTTAAATCCATGCAAGTTGTATCAAAAACCGCGAAAACATCGTCGACGTATCTATATCATATTTGGACGTTCTCGTTATCAAAAACAGTGAAAATCATTTAGTTTTTGACATTTATAGGAAAGACACTAGTACTTTAAGATACATAACTAATGATTCTAACCATGCTTGTCAACATAAAATGGCAAGTTTTAATTTTCTAGTCCATAGACTTGTCATATTTCCTTTAAATCAACAAAGGTTTGAGGTGGAAACAAGCCTCATAAAAAAGGTGGCTAGAATCGATGGCTAAGAAGATAGTTTTATCGATAAGTTAATTATGAAATTTAGATTTAAGAACAACTTGGTTGGCGAAACGCGCGTCGAGTACGTAAAATTAAGTTTCGGTTTGTGGTAAAACGCGTTATTGTGTGTTAATAAATGTGACATCTCAAAAATTAATTCAAAAATATCGCTAGATATAAACAAATAGAACATTTTATTTTCTATTAGTTTAGTCCACATAACGTCAAAAATATGAAAAATGCCAGATCGCACAATTTTTGTTGAACTGTTTTTTTTTGTGTTTTGTTGAAATGTTGTTATAAACGTTGACTGATGTCTTTTCAATCAGTTTTTGAACATTTTAATTTAATTACCTTCATATACTCGTACTTGCAGCGCATATTCAAATTCAACCCACTGATAACAATCATAAATGCTTGTAAATCGGCTTTTTATTGGTTGATTGTGTGTTTATGAATTGGTCACTAAAGTCATGATCATTTATC